TTTCACAAGGGCCATTTAAATTCATTATAGAAAGACATGTGATGACAGTATGTTGGATTTCTGCATTCATTTTTTCAGCTGAGCACTGACAGGTAGAAGCAGTATTGCCAGGTGCAATTGATGGGATTTATCCTTACAGGACAGACACTGAGGAAATCATTCACTTTGACGGTATCATGATTTTAGTAGATGTTGAATCCATAACATTAGTGTGTGACTTTACCAGAAACATGAGTAGTTCATTATTATATTTAGATTTTAAATAGGATTTCAAGGATTTTATTTAGGAATAACACAGATGCTCATCAGAAATTCAGAGCTATTGAAATATGTTATTTAGTTCACCTAAAGATGTTGGAGTTTTATTTTGTTTATAACATTGGCACAGGCCAAGTATTAAGATTCTGAAGCTGCACTGGACAAATAGGAGGTCTAGAAAACATTAATATTAGAAATAATAAGCACACCATTTATAATTTACAGAGATTCATAAATTACACCAGAGACGCAGTAAAAAGAAAAATAGACGTAGATTAGATTCACACCTTAAAAGGTGTGAAAGGAGGGATTTGTGGAGTCTATTTGTATATAACATTAGAAATACTGATTTTTGACTTATTATTACATTATAAACTTATAGTGCTCATTTATGTGCTGTGATTTAGGAATAAATAGACGTCTTTAGCCTACAATACAGAGTAGCAAGGTCAGGTGCAGACACTGGAAGAATACAAAGAGTTATTCATAAACAGGACATCACTCGCTCCCACACACAGCTAGGAAGCAGCATTATGAAGATTCCACTATATCTGCAGAAAGCTTCAGAAATTTTTTTTTACGTATGATGGCGCCAGAGTAGGGAGGGACTTCCACAGGCCGGCCGAATGCTGATTGGAAGGTCGTGTTGCCAAGAGACTCTATTTGAGTCTGCGCACCAACCAAAGAGAACCAAGTCTAAACCATGGTATCTCTTCAGCTAGTCTTGACCAATCATAAATGTACGGGCAACGCCCTCTGTAATAAAATGTATGCACGCACGAGGTTCGAGGCTCTTGTCCGGAAATAGACTGACAGATTACAGCTTTGCTGTCTGTGATTTCTAGGACGTGACGGAGTCCTTGGCCAAGTGATATATATATTTTGCTCTCTTTACAATAAATAGTTACATTTAGAAGTTGTCTGTCTTTTCTGGAATTCTGAACCCAACATGAGCGAGAGAGAGAGAGAGAGAGAGAGAGAGAGAGAGAGCACCAGAGATAGTTGTTGTTAGCATCTGGTTAGCTAGCTGCGCTAACGGATATTAGAAGCTGTTTCTACAACAACGTGAACGGAGAGTCCTCTCCTGTCAGACTGAGAGGCTGATAACTACAGCTCAGTGAGGTAAAGGACTCTCTCAGTGTTTAGATAGTTCACTTAGTCTAAGTTATCTCAGTGGGTCTCAAATTGTTTGATCACCATTTATGTAAACAAGTATTTCCAAGGCACACCTTTATATGATCATTATAGTTGTAAAAAAACAAGAGAATAAATGAAAAACAGTTATGAAATACTAAATGACAGTAAAACAAGAATACAGTTTAAAAGGAGAGTGATTTGTAAAATATCCATAAATAAAAAGTAAATCTGTTTACAGTTCTGTTTCATATGGGTGTTGAGAGCTGTATCCATAGATCTCTTCATGTTGCTCTCACAGTGCACCAGATTGATGCTTTTAACTTCAATATTTATATTACATATCTTCCCGGGGGAGCATGCCCCCGGACCCCCTAGAGGATGTTAGGTCCACCACCCACTTATAAAAAATATCACTACACCCTGCTTACACCTATATGCCGTGAGCTGATTATCGAGCCTTCATTGTAACTGTCGCTGATATACTGTGTGTGTGCGTGTGGGGAGTGTTGCAGTAGAAAATTCAACTGTAGCGACCGGTACCTTAATGGGAAACCCTACATGTTTGAACACCCTCTATGAAATGTCAAGCTACCCAACAGCACCCCCAAAAGACAATCTCTGGCGCCGCCCATGGTTACAGGATGTGTATTTTGTAAATTGTGTAACTTTTTATTTTATTCTATTTTTTATTCTATTATAAATTCTTTTTTTTTACTTTAAAGGTCCCATGGCCATTTCTACTGATCATAATTCCATTGTTGAGGTCTACTAGAATAGATTTAAATTGTGCAATTTTCCAAACTCACATTGGTTTCTCATACAGCATCTCTGTATAGTATGTGTATTCACTCTCTGTCCTAAACGCCTTGTTGGAGCTCCTGACCCCCCTCCCTATGAGCCCACTCTGTTCTGATGAGTCCATCACCGTTACAGCGGAACATCAGTGATTATGTGTTACAATGGCGTTAGCAACCAGAAAATGACACCAGTAATGACAAACAGATGAGAATGCTGCGTGGTGCCGTGTTGGCGGGACGTTGCGAGGCTCACTGCTGCGAGGAGGGGACAGTGTGAGCTGGCTTACTGGTGTGGTTTCCTGGTTGCTGCGAGACAGCGAGACATCGCGAATGGACGCAGGAAGGGGGGGGTGATGAGGGGGGCACCCCCATCTGCGATGCTCCACTAGCCACATCAGCATTATGGCTACACTCAAAGGGCCGGTTGTAACTTTAAGACTATATAAAATACATATATAAATATATATATAAAATAATGTATTATATTACATTATTGCCTCTGCATTGGATTATTATTGGATAGGGTAATAACTTCATAATTAACTACGTCTGAAAGCAGAAGTCTGGGGCAAATAATTGCAAGTCTCTTCAGTGCGCATGTCACAAAATGATTTAAAAAGAAAAGCCAAATTCTGGAAAAAAAGTCAAAATCAAAAAACAGAAATGACATTTAAAAAAAAGGAACTAACATTTAAAAAAAGAGTCAAATTCTGAGAAAAGGGCACATTCTAAGAAAAAAGGCATATTTAGAAGAAAAAAAGTCAAATTCTGAGAAAAAAGTCTAATTTGAGATGCATTGTGGGACATGTAGTTTATGGGCAACGTGCTTCTGTAAATCATCATGTAACCGTATAATAAACATATAATATTCTTTGCAAGCTCTTGTGGGGCCACAGAAAATGAAGTCACGGGCCGGATTTGGCCCCCGGGCCTTGAGTTTGACACCCCTGGTTTACATGCATAAAAAGCTGCATAACACACAAGGGGACGGGTAATAACCAGAAAAGCATGACATGGGACCTTTAATACTTTTTTATGCATGCTTCTACGTAACATTAAACTGTCTTTGGCTCTTTTTCTGCTGTAACAACGTAAATGTCCCCTCTGTGGGACTAATAAAGGTATTCTGATTCTGATTCTGAACAACAAATCGGACCACATACAACTTTCTTCATCTATATATATTGATTATCTTATTTTTATTTATCGTAATTTTCATTCAGGCTGACCAATTTTGAGCGCTGGGTTTAACAGCCGACTGTAACAAGTTATTGTAATTCTGCCTGAAAAAAATAAGCCTTGTCAGTATTAAAAATCATCACGATCATATCCTGGATTATTAGATTATGATTATGGGGGGGTGCAAGTGATTTATCCGACCGGCCCACATCGTGTAGCCCACTGGACTGTGTAAAGACTGCAATAAACCGGAAACTGTCAAACATGTCTTAATAGACTGCCACAAGGATGAAGATGAGAGAAGAGTGTTAGTTTTCAGGTTTAGCTGATGAAAAAGCTCAGCCTTACCATGGGGAATCTGCTAGGAAAGATCATCAGACAAAGTATTCAGCCTTTTCAAAACATATCTAAAAGGCAACCAGAATTATAGAGAGAATGTAGTGTTTTTTCATTTATTTTGATCCTGCCAATCTAATGATCCACACTCCAGTCCAATAGGTGGCGGTAATGTACCTATTCGCGGTGGTTGACAACCGCCAATAAACCTCATAGTTTCATGGATGTATAATAAGAACTGGATACAGCGTGGGAGGCGGGGCCTCATTCATTCCTATGAGAGTTGCTCATTCGCGCATGATGATAAAATGGCCCAATTTTTGAGAGAGCGAAACGTCACAGATTACCCGGCATGCCTGAGAAGTACCCGTATGTGCGCTCATAGCGCATGCGCAACTTTAACCATGCCCCCCAAAATGCTCGTTCACATCAAGCACGTCAATTTGCGTACACGTAACAGCACCGCACGTTCATGACAGCATGGTAATGTTTGTTATGATAGATTTGATATTAACGAGGCGGCAGTTAGCAGCTAGCGGTTAGCTAGTAATTATGCTAATTTACACATCAATCGTTATGTACTTTTATATTACGCTGTAACAGGATCTAGTGATATCCAAGCAACAGAGCTTCATTTAGCATGAAAGAATTATTGCACTGTATATATATATATATATATATATATATATATATATATATACACACAGTGCAATAAGCTTCTTAGTGCAATAAGAAGCTACAGGGACGTTAATCTACGTCGGTAATATTAACTTTATTTAATACAACATTTACGGTACAAGATTTAATCATACAGCCCATGTAGTATAATATGTTATAAATGATGAATTACAGCAAACATGTGCAATATATCCATTATTACAGCTCCGTGGGCTGGCAGTAAGGCGATATGGGTCCGTTCTTATTGTGCATCCATGGGTAAAGATAAACGCATGTAGTGCTGAACACGTAACATGAACGTGCCGGGCGGCGCGGTCCCGTGGGTTAGATGCGCGTTCATAATGCAGAGGGAAATAACTCTCAGAATAACGTTATTAGCACATTTTACAACTTGAGGAACGAATGTTTTTAATAAGGGCTATACAAGTGTTCATACTGGGTAGTTTATTTAGTTTAAAAAAAATTATCCAACGATTTACAGACCACTCTTTCCCCATGTAAGTCAATGGGAAAAAGTGTTTCCGGGCCTGGCAACCAAAAGGAAGTGTAGTACCGCCGTTTGGCCAGCACGAATATTTTCATCAGAGTCCGGCGCACTTCCTGGGGGCTTGCATAGTTTTAGAGAATCCGAGAGAAGAAGGGGAAAAAGTTCCTGCTATCGTGTGACCAAACAGGACATTGAACCTGTCTGCATTTCATTAACGCGGGTAGTGTATGCTGTGTCGGCACTCACACATCGACCATGGACGGCTGTCCTCCCACTCCGCTGTTCACATTTGGAGTGATAGCAGACATTCAGTACGCGGACCTAGAGGACGGGTTCAACTACAGCCGGACGCGGAAGCGGTTCTACCGGAGCAGCCTACAGCTGCTAAAGAACGCCCAGAGGAGCTGGGCAGAGTCCGCTGTCAGACCCGAGTTTATCCTCCAGCTGGGAGACATTATCGACGGCTTCAACAAGGGCCCCGGCGCGTCTGAGCGGGCCCTTGACACCGTGCTGAGGGAGTTCTCCGGGCCCGCGGAGGTCCACCATGTGTGGGGCAACCACGAGTTCTATAACTTCAGCAGGAGCGCGCTGCTGCGTTCACGGCTCAACAGCAGCGCGCTGCACAGGGACCGGGACCTGAGCGGGGACGTCTACGCCTACAGCTTCAGCCCGGCCCCCGGATTCACGTTTGTCGTGCTGGACGCCTATGATGTGAGCCTGCTGGGCAGGGAGCCGTCCAGTGAGCAGTACGGCCAGGCTATGGATCTGATAAAACTCTACAACAACAACGACGACCTGAACTGCCCCCCAGGTACACCCCCCAGGTACACCCCCCCAGGCACAGTCCCCCCAGGCACAGCGGGCAGAGATGTGATGTGATTTGTGGATCACCCTAGTGCTGATCATTCAAATGTGTTCATTCACGTCTTAAGCCACGTCCCAGACAGCAGGGTGACTGGTGTGAAGAGCAGTGCTGTTATGTAGTGAAGTACATTTACTCAAGTTTTGCACGATTCTGGGGTACTTGTACTCGAGTATTTTTAAGTGATGTTACTTTATACTACTGTTCCACTACAATTTGGATGGCAATATTGTACTTTTTACTCATTAATTTGACAAAATTAGTTACTAGTTAGGCCTACTTTACAGATTCAGAATATTAGCACATATAAATAAACTAAGAAATAAACTCTGCTATATAGTTATTAGTAAAATATCCAGCAATAGTATATCAAGTTATAAAAGTAGCTCTACATTCACCAGCTGTGATGAACACATTATTGCAAAAATAAAAAAAATCTATTCATGTGATATCAATTATTCTAAAATGGGACATTACGCACATTAAGTAGGCCTACTTATATACTTTTGGAACTTCAAGTATATTTGAATGCCGATACATTTTAAATGCAGGAATTTTACTTGTAGCACAGTACTTTTACATTGTAGTGTTTCGTCTTGTACTTAAGTAAAATATCTGAGTATTTCTTCAAGTAAAGAGTGGTTTTCAGATGTCGTGTTGTTTTCAGTTTTGGAAGGGCTGCAGCGGAGGTTCACCATGTTCAACGGGGGCTTCGGTCAGGAGCAGCTGGACTGGCTGCATGCTCTTCTGACCGCGTCTGATGACAAAAGAGACAGAGTTACAATCGTCAGTAAGTTAAAACTGTCGCCCCTACAGTGCATTAGTTATTCAATATATATATATATATATATATTATAAGTGGAGTCATTTAATATGTAAGGTGAATCCACTCCAGTGTTGCCCTGCACTCAGAGGAGCAGCTTGTGACAGACTGCAGCTGTAAGATGGTTTACAAAGCCTGGGGATTTCTTTAGCTTGTACACATAGAGCAGCACACTCATACTCACACATTGGGGGTTCTTAAATGGGCACCCCCCATCCTGAAGCGCTTGTTGATTAGCCCACTATGTCTCATAATATAGTGGTTCCCAACCGGGGTACGGAGAACCCTAGGGGTACTTGAGGGGATTGCAGGGGGTACGTAGAGAGATTAGGGATTTCATTTTATTTCCACATCAAAAAACACTCAAATCTATTTACATAAACCTGGTGTCCAGCCCTCTCAAGCTCAAGTGTCTCATCAAAAGCTCTAGTCTTAATAAAAGGTGTTGAAACTGCTAGAAGTGAGTCTTAATATTATTATTTTTCCATTCTCAAGGAGTGTAAATGTCAAGTTTAAATGCATTTGTATTAAGGGTGAGTGTTTTCATAACAAAATACATGTGAGTTCATGGCTACTGTAGCAGACAACATTCTTGTTGCTCTGTGTTGCGTTGTTAATGAGTGAGACACACCGGAGTTGAGGATCTGTGGGGTTTATTCTCCCAAAAATATAATTTACAATTTACAAAAAAAAATGTGTATGAGATCTATTTGTGGCGGACGATATTTAATTGTGGCGGCCAAATGATACAAATGAATCGATGTATGGGAAACACTGTGTCATCTAAGGAGCAGTTGGATTAAATACAAGAAAAAAATGTAGGCGAATCATCACAGATAATTGAGGGGGTTTTTATAGAATGGTGACGAGCTCAAGGGGTACACGAGACCCAAAAGGTTGGGAACCACTGTCCTCATGTATTCTTCAAGGGGATGGTAACAGAAGCCTCTGCTTCCAGAACTGCACAGCCTCATTTCAGACATCCTGGCGCCACTGTGATTAGATGAATCAAAAGGAAATTGAGTTGCAGCAGTCTATGAAATATATTGTGTACATCAACTGCTGATCTGGAAGTGCCGCTGTGAAATCCAACCTTGTTTTGTTGTCCAGGTCACGTCCCTGTGCACCCCGGCTCCACAGACCCCGTCTGCCTGGCCTGGAACTACGAGGAGCTGCTGGCCGTCATCCGGGCCCACAGCAGCGTGGTGTGTTACATGGCCGGACACAGCCACGACGGGGGGTACTGTCAGGATAAAGACACGGGCGTACACCACGTGACGATAGACGGGGTGATCGAGACCCCCCCTGACAGCGATGCCTTCAGCACCGTCTCTGTGTATGCAGACAGGATGGTGCTGAAAGGGGAGGGGAGGGTGGAGGATCGAGTGTTTCTGTTCCCATCATAAGGATACAGTTCACACCTCACTGAGGCTTTCGGGACGTCATGACAGGGATTTTATGGACTGGGATATTTCCAGGGTGTTTATTATTCTCTGGAGGTCAGGTCCCTTTACAAGAAAGACAATCTCCCATCTCGTAGCGTTAGGCTTTCCATGATTTTCTCAGATGAATAAACATTAACCCACTTCAGTCATGGAAGGGCTGTAACCTACCATTGGTTTAGTTTTGGTAAAGGCTTTAAAGTGTGAACTAACTCAGCAGGGGGAACACCATACTGTCAATATGTATTTATTAAATAGTTTTGATTATTTATGAGTGTATATCTAATACACAAGCTTTTACACAAGAGGTTAAATGCTATTATTTGTATAGTTATACACAATTTAAGCAGAATTTTGTATTTGTTACATATGCTGCCTACTGCATTTTGCACATATAGAAAGCACTGATTTTATTTATTTATTTTGATTTAAGTTATTTGATGGGCATTGTTGTGAAAAATGGCCTTGTTAGTTGAACCCCTTCTTTGACTTTGCAGGTTCTGCTCGCACATGTGATGATAAATGATTTGTTAGTAATTGCAAATTGGTTTATTTATGGAATAAAATGAGCACAAACATAAAAGCCTCTCAGATAGGAGTGTAAAGAAGGTTCAGGAACAGTAGGAATTATAATGTAGGCAGAGCATGAAGTAATTACTGTCGTAAATCCACAGTTTACAAAACCCTGTAGCAAGGTCATCTAGCAATCAAAATGTTATTTGGTATCGAGATATACCAGAGGTAACGGTACTCACTCTGCAGAATATATATGACTGTATTATAATTATTGATGCATGAATGTTATCATTAATGTAGCCGTGAGTAAAAGAGGAGTTATTTTGTATTAGTTTATATACTGCTGGGAGCCTTGTGAATTTTTTGGGATCAATACGTTTTTATGCTTCCATGATAAAGTTTTAATCTGAATCCTTAAAGTAACTTAACCTGTCTACACTGCTCAAAAAAATAAAGGAACACTTTTAATCGGAGTGTAGCATCGAGTCAATTAAACTTCTGAGGTATTGATCTGGTCAGTTAAGTAGCAGAGGGGGTTGTTTTTACTTTTACATTTACTCAAGTACTGTACTTAAGTACAACCTTGAGATAAAGTACTTTACTTGAGTATTTCCATTTTATGCAACTTTGTACTTCTACTCCACTATAATTCAGAGGTTACTCGTGTACTTTTACTCCCCTACATATAGTTAGTACCTTGAGTTAACTTTACAGATTTTGATTAATAACATGAAATATAATAAACACAAAAAAAGGACTTCTTGTAAATTCACAAGCTACCCTGCAGTATACAGTACAACATCATTAAAACTAGCTGCACCTTTACCAGCTTTGATAACACTTTAATGATCAATGTAATTAATCAAAACATATCATATATATTATTCTGAAATGGACCAATCACAAAATGACTACTTTTACTTTTGATACTTTAAAGGGGACCTATCATGCAAAATGCACTTTTGTACGTCTTTTATACATGAATATGTGTCCCCGGTGTCAGAAAACACAACCCTCTCTATTTTCCTCCATACCCAAATCTCTAAAAAAGGGGCTGCAACGGATCTGATAAAAACTGATCCAGATTTGAACACTGTCCTGACGTCAGGACGGTGGCGCTACGGCTATTGGGCCAACTCCACCAATCAGGGGAATGTGGGGTTGGGCCACGGCCGGCCATTGCCGCTCGAAAGCGCTGGAGACGCTGTAGTACATATGCCAGGCCTGTAAGTGGCGCTGTAGTCTGCCACAAAAGCAGCGAAGAAGACTTCCCGCCCATAGTTACCATGGTTACCCTTCTGTTTATTCTCCGCTGTGGCTTTTTTTCTCTCTCCCCGAGGCAAGCGTTTGCTCCCGCTGCAAACGCTTGCGGGGAGGGATTGCTCAATGCAATCCCTCCCCGTCGAGGCAAGCACTGTAATTCTCTCCGGTTAGTCCACCAGCAGATGACAAACACCCACCTCTCCGCCTCTTCCAAGGAACGAGGGGACTGTGCGGCAGAGTTTCAGTTACTTTCGCCGGTCAAGATGTCCGTTAAAGTTTAAATCTTCCGGACAAAATTAGAAAAGTGCCGGTCAAAGGTCTTCTTTGTTATTTATTGAACTTTAAAACAAATGAATAACGACTCTATATAATAAAACACGGAGGACGGAGATCTCTTTTTCTCCCCCTCTTCTGACAGCCCAGCAGCTGATCAGAGCACGTCTCCCCTCTCCTGCAGGGGGGCGTGGCCAGCAGAATCAGACCCGTAGACAGCAAACAGCACATAGAGCGAAATGAGGCATGGCTAAAATGCATGATCTGTTTGGTATTTTGAAAACAGAAACGTATAAATATACCTTATATAGGTATGGCCCTACAATCATTTAAATATAGCATGATAGGTCCACTTTAAGTATATTTTCATGCTAATACTTTTGTACTTTTATTTGAGAAATATTTTTGTTTGCAGGACTTTTACTTGTAACAGAGTATTCCTACACTGTGGTACTTGATCTGAGTAGCCTACTTCTACTTTAGAAGGGGGTATAACACGTAGGCTAGAGTGCTGATTTGAAAAAGTTATAGAAATAAGTCTAACATTGCGTTAGTCGGGAAAGCCTGTATTTCCGACAGGCCTTGAAGGCAGCAGCGGTGCTCTTGCTGCGTTCAGGGCGCAGTGTCCCGTCAGGAGTCCGCAGAAAGATTCGCTGCTGCACACCGGAATTCAACACAACAATGGCTTCTCCCTGTCCGGAAAGCAACTCCAAACAGTCCAGCAGCACTGTGGGGTCCGCGTCGCCTCGCTTCCAGCAGCAGAGCCCGGGCAGCAGCATGCAGGGTAGGCGGCATGGCCTTTATTCACACGGTTCTGTTTTCTTATTGCACACTGGACTGAAGAGGAAAAGGTAGCTTAGTTTACCAGAAGAAGAACAGATCCAGTCAAGTGGGATATAATAATTAACCATTTCCTGTTCGAATTTTCAGAATAAGATCATCGTCGTTGTCCATATAACATGCGAATAAATATTTAAGTTTTCTTTTGTTTAGATTACTTTGGATTGGTCTGTCAAGTGTTTGAGATGATCATGTTATCGTTTTTAGAAAATGTAGCGGGCTGTTTATAGATGAGCACTACTCATGGATCTGCTGTATGTATGCATACTGTCTAGGTATTCAAGCTCTACTTTACACATTTCAGTGTCAACATAGTACATATAAAAACATTCAAAATCACTCTTTACAATTATTGTAACTCATTTTGGACTCTATATACGCCCTTATTTTGAAGACTAGATGGCTTTAGTTGCCGGTAAAGCTCCATCTTTCTTCGCCTAGCTTTCTATGGGTACACTGCTACCAGGTTAGCAAAGCTGATCTGATGAGCCCACTGACTTGTTGGGAACTTTCTTTCAGTCTGACACTGTTGTCATTACGATAATACATCAATCACACGTGTTCCACGGCAAAGATGTATTCATTAATAAACATTCCCCGATATGTTTAGCACCAGGCTGCCAAAAGTACCGTTAGCATAAGGCCTCCACATGTGTGTCTCTGAGAGCCAGGCCGCTGTCTCCGCTAAACACACGTTACAAACAAAGTACTTAACGTTAGATTACTAATTATTATGTTCACAACTTTTAAACGTTGTTCATGAGTTTGCTTCAGTCCTCTGATCGTCACTGAGATACTTCTGTTTTAGTAACGCTAGCCTCAGTATTTCCGTATTTGGATAAGGTGAGAAAGTTATAAAGTGATGACATCAAATAAACCCACAACAACCTGCTGAACTGAAACAACATGTCTGCCTTCACCGTCACAGCTGTCTGAGGAACATCACACACTAGCTGTTAGCCTCATGGATTGATACAAACCTGTGGCTAGCCAAAAGTGGTTCATTCATTTACTTTAGATGAATTGTAGGGAGTTACATTTGTCTCAATATTATTTATGTGAAAAAAATAAATATCGAAAACAGATGTATAATCTGCAGCAGTGTAAGAAGTACTCTGATCTTTTACTTAAAGGTAGGGTAGGTAAGTTTGAGAAACCGGCTCGAGATACACTTTTTGTTATATTCCATGGAATGCTCTTAACATCCCGATAGCAATGAATATCTTAAGTGCTTTGACAACAAATCCATAAAAAAATGTCATCTGTGGAAGCCGTAATACTGTAAAAAGCACGACCAATCATTTTAGCCGGCCCGGCTAAAATAACTGGATGGCCTACCTGCCTGTCAGCCTTCCATCTGTGCACAAACTTATCTCGTGCCCTCATTGGTCATGTGCACGTTCGTGTGTGTTGGAGGAGGGGCTCTGTAAGGAAGTGGCAGATTTTCTCCGGTTGTGTATTTTCAAATTCTAGCGATCTCGAGCCGGTCTCTCAAACTTACCTACCCTACCTTTAAGTAAAAGTAGCAATACTACATTGTAAACATACTCTGTTACAAGTAAAAGTCCTTAATTCAAAATTGTAATAAAGTAAAAGTACATACGTTTTGGCATTAAAATATCAGTTAAGGATTCTGGGCTGCTAGGCTGCTGAGCCTCGAGCCATATCGAAGTAAATGGCTAAGTGAAACAGGTAGATTTTGGTTCCGACCACCGGAAAGGTTTTCTCAAAACTCCATGAGTGTAAAATTCACAAACAACGATTGAGATCCACAAATGCATTTTCGATCCACAAATACAGTGGTTTTTCATTCATTTGATGCAATCATAGATGTGTTTTAATTTGTGGAATTTGTTTGTGTACTAGCAGATCCTTTTTTGAGATTTAATTTTTTTTTTTTTAAGTATAGAACTCTTTTTTGAAAAACTGAATTTCCTCCTAGGGGGATCAATAAAGGCTCTTTTACATTTACAGATTACACATTACGCCCTGATTCCCAATCTGTTGCCACAAATAATACTGAGACAAATCTGCCTCCAAATAAATTATTTAAAGTGCACCTATCATGCTATTATTAGGCAATAGCATAGGTCTCAGATATATAAAAATATATAAAAAACATGTCTATGAAGTGTTTTGCTCAAAATACCAAACAGATCACCCATTCCACATGCTGATTTTGGGTATAAAGCTTTAAAAAAAAAGAGGAGGGGGCTGAGCTCATGCAGACCGGCAGCTACCGTCTAAACCAGTGCTTCTCAAAGTGTGGTCCGCGGACCACTGGTGGTCCGTGAGAGCCCCCCTAGTGGTCCATGAGTATATTGGTAAAATTTCACATTTGAAATAAATAAATACATTTAAGTTTTCCGCACTCTCGCGGGAATATCTCCACAATGGAGCGAGCTTAAGTTTCACTTCCGATTGCATGATATAGCCCAGCGCATCACCTTCATCACACATGTTGCCACTTGTTTGTACCATCTTCAGGCGATTTGTAATCTGTTCTAGAAAAACGATGTGTTTTTGGACATTTGTGGAGTTAGGTGGTCCGCGAGTGTTTTTTTATTGGTTAAGTGGTCCTTGGTATGAAAAAGTTTGAGAAACACTGGTCTAAACTAAATACTGCCATGGTGAAACGCCATATCATGGATTATCAAGGATTATTTCTGAAACAGTATGGAGCTCAAAGGCTTTCTCTCTTGCCGGTTATACCACAAGATGAGTTCCTTTTTTATATCCAGCTTCTTCACACACATGCTCTCCAGTACAGGTTAGCTCTGAGTGTTAGCGATGCTAATGTAAACACCGACCATATTACGTCCAAAACAGTCGTGCATTGTTTCTGATAGCAACTTTCTGATAGTGCCGTGGGTCCACATTTCCGATATTACGTCATATCAGACGCAAATCTGGATCAGCTCCGTTGTACCCCCGTTTTTAGAGATGTGAGTACGGAGGAAAAGAGAGAGGGTTTTATTTTCTGATGCTGCGTGAGTTCCCTGACACACCGGGGACACATATTTATGTATAAAAGACATCAAAAAGTGCATTTTGCATGATAGGTCCCCTTTAAGCAACATTTCTGTCTGCTGACACGAACATGTTAAGCAGCGTCCAGTGATGGCGGACTCTGCTTTCAAACCCTAGCTCATATTCAGGGCTTAAGAGGGTTACTGATATCCAATACAATTGCTAGTTACCAGTAAAAAATGTAATCCGTAACATAATCTGAGTATCAAAATATAAAAGTAATCCTACCTGATACTTTCCGTTACTTTTGGATTTCCTCAATATTAAATATGCAAATAAAAGAAAAGGGAGAATAAATATCAATTAGATGTTTTTTACTTAAGTGTTTGATCAGAACAATGTCACAATAAAAAAGAAAATACCAAGATATTCAGTATCATAAATAATTTTTTTCATAGGAAAACCTGCCTTTCATTAAGCATATTCAGGCAGTATCCTATACACCAAAGTTTGATGATAGAAATGTATAGTAGGGTCCCCATAAGTTGTGCTAATTAAAACGTAAACATTAGTTAAAAATGGCGTAACCAATTTTGGAAAATGTTGGAGTGGTTTTGGGGTTATTGGGTATGCTGAATCTATTTTTTACATTTTCAGGATGAAAAATTGCAGTTTTAACCAGAAAGTGGCCACTAGACTATTATGTGATGGCTGAAAAGGACGTAGGACAGCCAGTAGGGCAGACTGGTGTCCAGTAATGGACATGCTGGTGTCCAGTAATGGACATGCTGGTGCTTGTGCTAGCTGCTGCTGGATTCCCATTGATGGTTGATGTTTAGCAGCAGTTCTCATGTTTCAATTTTCAACACATGTGAGATGTAACATTATTTCCTACTGTATGGCAGACTCTAGTATCACATGTTTTATCTAAACCTTACAGAAACCAACACCTGCTGGAGATGTCAAAATGAAACAGGTATACTATTCACACTTATTACACTGCCGTTGGGATGATAAAGTGTTATTTCACTAGTGTTAATCAGATTTTGGGATTATGTTGTAGTTTACAGTTTGAATCTGCTGTTGGGATCATAATGTGTTATTTTACGAGTTTTAATCTGCTGTTGGCATTGGTATCTGTTATTTGTCTTTGGTGTTCTACTGGTTCATGGCATAGTGGCATACACTATATTTCTGTCATGTTTCATTGGCAAATACCATTTCTGCATATGCCACTGCATGTTTGTGCTATGTGTCACTTCTGAACATCTTGTATCTTATGTCCTGCAGATTAATCAACACATTACAATGGTGTGCCACTCCTATTATAGTACAACGTGCGCATTTTTAGTGGTGCTTTGATAAAAGGTCTTATTTAATTTTGGTAAGGTTAGAAGGGACATTAGTCAATAGCAGAGCATTGGCATGTATAGCAATCAAAGTGCACATGTCTGGAGAGTGGGAGATGCCAGTGGTGCAGGACCATATGTCAGACAGCAGTGAGGGAATGCTTTGAACAGGCATATGGCACCAAGACAAAAGTGGAAAACCATCAGCCACTTTCCACCCCAGGGTGATGTGAAACATTAAATATAAGTATCAGGTGGTCACAGAAGAGATTAAACAAAGTCATCAAAAAGCCTTAAAATTGAGGTGTATTATTATTCCACTGGGATAAATGGAACCACCATTGCCTGAATCAGAACCATAGACACGAGGTGCTTATTTTATTACATTACATATTACTCAAAGCAATTTGGGGTTTAGTGTCTTGCCCAAGGACACTTATGGCGCGTTTCCACTGCAGCACGGAGCTCGCTTTAAGCGTGCCGAGCCGAGCCCGTTTTTGGTTGCGTTTCCACTTGGCCTAGTACCGGCTAGCGGGTTCTAATTCACAGTTTTTCTGGCCCCATAAAATCGTGGTTCTAGGGCCAGGAACAACCAGGCTGAGTCGGGCTGAGTATGCTAAACTAGAGAGAGAATCGCTGGCAAGGGGGCTACAACTACAACAAGATGGACATATTTGACCGTGATTTAATTGTAACACACGTTTCAAAATGATGCCGAAGTAACAACACACTGATACCGGTTAGTAAAAACCATGAATTAATGCTTTGACAAGTCTGCAGACAGACGGCAGGCGAAAAACCTTTTAAAATGTGTGTTTTCTAAATGGAGATTGGCTAAGCTAACGTTGCATATGCCCCGACCGTCCACACTCGCAACAACGGCCTATACAGACATAAATAAAGCAGCGACTGTATTCGCCATGACACAGGCAGTCTGTGGTTTGTACTTGTTTAACTTTTGTCTAGTTTCTGAACAGATAAGAGGAGCTGTGAGCTCTGAGTGCTAACAGCTAACGGCTGTGTTGTTTTTCTGGGGTTCTCATTGAAGATGACGTCACGGCTCCGCCTACACTGCGTTACTATAGATACTACCCCAGTTCCTAAACTGTAATGGAAATGCGCCATAAAGTGAGCCAGTCCTAACGAGGCCTAGCCATACCGAGCGAGGCCGAGCGAGGCCGTGTAGTGGAAATGCGCCATTAGGCCCCGTCCACACGGAGACAAAACGGAGACGAAAACGAACCGAAGTCGATATCAAAAAAGTCTTCCGTCCACACGGAATCGGCTCAAGAAACGTGTCCGTCCACACGAGACCGCTCGACCCGCTGGAGACGCTGTAGTACATATGGGGCCTGTAAGTGGCGCTGTACTTCCGCCACAAAATACACCAAAAGCAGCGAATAAGACCCCCCGAGCATGGTTGCCTGGTTGCCCTTCTGGTTATTCTCCGCGGTGGATTTAGCAACATGTAGTTCATGTAGTTCTCCATGTCCACTTGTTGCTGATGGTTGTGGTAGAGAAGCTGTAGATTTTGCACTAACATCTGTATCATGGTCAGTAGCATCAGTAGCGTCTGGAGCGTCTAGCGCAGGGATCACCAACTACATTTGTCCAAGGGCCAAAATGTATCCAATAGACACTTTCGCGGGCCAGCGATTTTTATAGCCCAGCATAAAGCAGACTCTTCACGCTAAGAAAGGATCACTTCTTCTTCAGGGCAGGGAAGGCTACGCAGTCTACTGTCCCGCAGCTGCTGCCTCTCTGTTGGACTCCGGTACTGCACATTACTCACGAGACGTTGTAAAAAAAAAAGATTAGTGGGGGCGAACGCACTAACCACTCCGCCAACGCCACAGTCACCCCCGCCGTGCGGGCCGGATGAGAATGTCTGGCGGGCCGGATGTGGCCCGCGGGCCGCCAGTTGATGGTCACTGGTCTAGCGCATCAGCAATGACGCAGGAGAGGCGGGGCTATGATCGTTTAGGGTGTACACACGGTGCCGCAAGCGTTACGTTACCAGACCTTCCCACTTTGGGATGCGTTATCGTTTGTGGGCTCCGTTTCCACGGTTCCGTTACGGCCTCGTGTGGACAAACCGTCCATACGATAAAGAACTATAGCGGATAACACCCGTTTCGTCTCCGTGTGGACGGGGCCTTAAACATGGTGTCAGGAGGTGAGAGTCAAACTGCTGAACTCCTCTTACCCACTGACAGGTAAACAAGCCCTAATAAATCCTGTTTTCTTGACTTCAGGGTTTCAGATAAGGCTTTCTGCAGTGTCCCAAAGTAAGCACACGACCTGTCTCTGTGTCGGAACTCCTCAGTGCTCTACAGTGGTTTCCTTCCTCACTCACTTTGACCGAGTTGTTTAGCAAGCCATTTTAACATTTAATCAGCGAGGCTTACTGGTTGAAAATAATCTTGAAATAACTAGGTAAACTGTTGGATGGATCTGTTAAAAAAGTTCAACATTTTGCAAAGAAATGTCATATGTAGTAGTTGCATACATATCAACAAGTGGGCATTGTCAGGGTTAAGCCATTGGCAGTGTTCAAAAGGGCGACAACTACCTAATGAATGTTCCAAACATGCACATGTTTGGGGGAAGTTGCCTGCTGTTGAACAGGAACACTTTTCTGTGGATGGACATGGTGGAGTTAGTTATTATTAAAATCCATTGGAAATGTTTTGCAATTGTAAATGGTGTCACCAACCCTTGCCTCCATCTATTTGCAACATTGAAATTCCTATCCAACGCAGAAACGGCCGTCTCAGGAATCTTGGTAACTTCCCGTGTTAGCGTATTCATTTAGGATATGTTGCTCTCATTTGCATGTTAATTTGGGATATTTCATTAAAGGCATATAGAATGACATTTGAACTGATCATTTCTTTTTTGATATACTAAATTCGATTGTGACTAGTTAGAAAAGGAAACGTAAACATCTAAAATATAACTGTTTCTCGTCCGATTTAATTTCCACCTGTATCTATTGTATTTTAGATATCACTAAAAAGGTAATTCTAGAAATCTCAAATTACATTCTTACGAGTTACTACTCCAAGCCTATCTATAATTGAATTATAGCTAGTCACAATTCAATTTTAAACATCTATAATATGTTATATCTAAAATATGACTTCAATTGTAGATACCTATTATTAACATTTAAACTAGTTAGAATATAATTGTTGACATCTCTACTGGTTACAATTCCTTTATTGATATCAATAATAAACATTTTAACTAGTGATAATTTAAATGTTTATCAATAAGTTATCAATATTACAATACAGATAAGGTGTTGTAACTGAATTATAAATTAAGTCAATGGTAAATTGGTAATAGGTAACTAGTTACAGAATCAAAGATATCAACAATGAACATTTCCAACAGTAAGAAATGAGTTATTAAGATATTAAGAATTAACAATGCAACTTGTTAGAAATATAAGACACCTTAAATTGGAATTGCTACTAGTCAACATTACATTATGGTTATGTTGCCTTGCACTTGTAACCAGTCCCAGTCAGAATTTGATTTCTTCAATGGCTGTTTTAACTGCTGATTAACTTTTGATAAAATGTTAAAGCGCTTGCTGTAGAGATGTGTTTCATATTTAATTGGACAAATATGTTTGAAGGAAGCCACTGTAAACTACTGAAGCCCCTGTGTGGTGCTCTGAAAGCTGTCCTTCCTGTACGCTGTCACCTGGCACAGACAGTTATGTCCGAGTTATGGAGTGTTTGCACTCAGGAGCTGGTGGAACAGGGAATGGCAAAGACGACTCCACACTTAAACTCTCGTGTGCATTAACAGCTGGCCGACACTGTGGACCTTTCTTCAATTAGAATCAAGTGCTTTCTAAGTGTTGGGTCACTTTGATATTTTTAGGGAACTTTTCAGTGTTTGGACAGGGATTTCCAATATTTGCCTCTATTTCAGCAACAACAATTCCAATAAGTTAATTAATTCTATATTTTGGATGAAAAAGTAGAAGGAACTGGTGCAGTTCGGGAGCATTCCCCCCCCCCCGACACCTTGCCTGTATTCATGCATTGTGTGTTTCCACTGATCTTGAGATACCCCCAAGGTCAGGTCAAGCCTGGATCATGTTGATGCCATGTGCTGGCATGCATTTGTTAATATTGCTTATTGCACACCCGTAAGGGCTTATCTCACATGTGTGAGTCCCTGAGCTGAGCCACGTTGTGTGAAACTGTCGCAGTGTGTGTGCATGTTGTGGGATTCTGGATCGCTTTCTTCCCTTCTGCCTCCAGGTAAACGAAAAGCTCTGAAGCTGAATTTCGCCAACCCTCCAGTGAAAGCGGCCTCCAGGCTCCCGCTCCATCCAACCGCCCCCCCTTTCCAGAATCCTCACATGTAAGTTCCATCTGGGCCACTGTCTCTGAATTTTCTGCAGGTCTTAGAAACACCATTTTTTAGTAATGCAATTCAATAATGAAACAATGAAAACAAAGTAAAAGTTTACAAACCAAGCTTCTTCCTTTTTCAGATCCCCATTAGTTTTCAAATCTTCTAAAACAGGGTTGTTGCTAACACGCCTGTTGCCAGGAATAGCAACAACAACCAATCACTTCTATTCCTGCTGATACAGCAACCTATTGAACCCTGATTGGTATATCTCACTTTTCCCTCTCCTGCTTCCTAATGTTTGCCAATGAAGACAGGAAGTGATCCGTAGCAACTTTCCTCATTTCCTCATACCCCCACTCCTATCAGAGGGTCCAATCACATAAGAAAGCTTGGATTAAAAAGGATCCATTAGCTTCACATTCACAGACAGAATCATGTCATATCCACAGTCACGACTCTCTCTCTTCCTGCTAATCTTCCTTATGTCACCTGGTCTCCTCCAGAGAGCGTCTACGCACACACAGCATCGAGTCATCTGGGAAGCTGAAAATCTCTCCGGAGCAGCACTGTGACTTTACAGCAGAGGACCTCAGGGACCTTGGGGAGATTGGGCGCGGAGCCTACGGTTCTGTCAACAAGATGGTACACAAACCCACAGAACAGATCATGGCTGTCAAGGTGAGACAAAGACAGACAGACAGACAGAGAGAGAGAGGCGGAGAGACAGACAGAAGATTCTTTTCCAGAGGTCTGTCTGACTCGAATAAGAGTCTGAGATCGTGTGTGTGTGTGTGTGTGTGTGTGTGTCAGAGGATCCGCTCCACGGTGGATGAGAAGGAGCAGAAGCAGCTGCTGATGGATCTGGACGTGGTGATGAGGAGCAGCGACTGTCCCTACATCGTCCAGTTTTACGGGGCCCTCTTCAGAGAGGTCAGTTGACCCGAGCAGCACTAATGTGGAGACCATCATCCTGACATCCTCTCACTAACCTCTGACTCTGTTTCAGGGCGACTGTTGGATTTGTATGGAACTTATGGCTACCTCATTAGACAAATTCTACAAATATGTATATTGTGCATTAGATGACGTCATTCCAGAGGAAATATTAGGCAAAATAACATTAGCGGTGGGTAGACATAGTTTTCCTCCTACATTATGATTTTACACCAAACATATGACGGGAACAGAAGTGACGTTTTTATTTTGTCTCTAACAGACCGTTAAAGCACTGAACCACTTGAAAGAAAATTTGAAAATTATTCACAGAGGTAAGTATTTTTCTTATATATTAATAGACATAACATTTAATGTCAGCACAATATTTTGGTCATTGTTAATATGAACACATTTCTATTGGAGCAATTCTGTCTATATTTTTCCTTTCTGTCATGTTAGACATCAAACCCTCCAACATTCTAATGGACCGGACAGGAAACATCAAGCTGTGTGACTTCGGCATCAGCGGGCAGCTGGTGGACTCCATCGCCAAGACCCGAGACGCCGGCTGCAGGCCCTACATGGCGGTGAGACATGGCACCCATTATTATCTCTACCACATGTCAATTAACTCACGCTGTTAAAAAACAATAACGCTAACAAACCAAAGCGGCTAATGCCCCTTTCACACCAAGGCTTTTCCTGTTCTAGCTCCTAGAGCTTTTCTGGTTCGGAACCGGTTCTTCAGTTCAGCTCCCACTCTGTTCACACCGCTCAGAGCCCGACTGGTGCTGCGTCATTGCGTCATCGTTTGCGTCATGACGTAACCGTTTGCGTGCCTGCTTCATAAAGCCAAACCGCGCGGAAACCCCTCACATCGACAACAACAACAATGGTCGATTGTGTTGAAGCGCTACTCGTTTTGGTTTTGCTCTGTCGAAACGAAATGGAAGAAATGGGACGACTTTACTACCAACTTTACAGTCGTTACATGCTACATTCAAGACTTCTTTACAATCATCATCATCAACTTCAACGACGATTCGTTAGGAGAAAGAAGGTAAATATACGTCCTATTCGATGGCGTTAGAGCTAGCTGTTGTTAGCCTGTGCACGCGCCAAGCTCAAAATACCCGGCTTTGCAGCATTAATTACTATGGTATAACATTAAAACTGATGCCCCTGCCCCCGCCTCCGACGTAAGCGTGACGTATGCGGTGCTTGCTTTCTAGACCGACAACTTTTTGGTGCTTGAAACGAACCGGATTCCGGAGCTTAGAGGCGGCTCCGCTGCGGTGTGAACAGGAAAAAACGGTGCTTTTCAAGCTGTAGCTCCGAACCGGCCCTGGAACCGCGTTGGTGTGAAAGGGGCATTACATACACCTCAGTACCATAGACATGCCCCGATGCCTATTTGGGGCTAAGTATCTTGCCCAAGGTCGCCTCGACATGTGACTGCAGGGGATTGAACCGCTGACCATTTGCCTGTTCAGCCTCTGAGCCACAGTTGACCCCCCCTTTGTCACTAATGGCGCTTTTCCACTGCAGGACCTAGCACGGCTTAGTACGGTATGGTTAGGCTTTGGTAGGCCCACTTTATGCTGCGTTTCCATTACAGTTTACCAACTGGGGTAGTAACTATAGTAACGCAGTGTAGGCGGGGCGATCGGCTGTTCGGCGGGCGGAGCGACGCTGCGGACGCTTATCTTCAGGAAATACATCCCCGGAGGAGCCATCAGTGTATCCCCGCTTGTAGCTCCTCGGCGCTCGATCCTTGGTCCTCGATGTGCATTTAGAGAAATGGGATGTCCTTCAACATGGCGCGCTGAAATCTATTTCCGGGTCACTACCGGAGGACCGAGGAGTCGAGGAGGCAGAAATGAGATAAATGGGAAAGGCTCCTGATTTTTGGTTTTCTGATTCAACAATATCAGTATTTCAGTGCTGACAGGCGGAGATTCTTACTGCTGATTGGCTTTGAATATCTCGCTCGACAATTTCAACTCTAGCAAATTTCGCGTCTTTGAATTGACTTGAGGTGCAAAAAAAACAAAGTGTGTGTGTGTGTGTGTGTGTGTGTGTGTGTGTGTGTGTGTGTGTGTGTGTGTGTGTGTGTGTGTGTGTGTGTGTGTGTGTGTGTGTGTGTGTGTGTGTGTGTGTGTGTGTGTGTGTGTGTGTGTGTGTGTGTGTGTGTGTGTGTGTGTGTGTGTGTGTGTGTGTGTGTGTGTGTGTGTGTGTGTGTGTGTGTGTGTGTGTGTGTGTGTGTGTGTGTGTGTGTGTGTGTGTGTGTGTGTGTGTGTGTGTGTGTGTGTGTGTGTGTGTGTGTGTGTGTGTGTGTGTGTGTGTGTGTGTGTGTGTGTGTGTGTGTGTGTGTGTGTAGCCGGAGAGGATCGACCCCAGCGCGTCCCGGCAGGGCTACGATGTGCGCTCTGATGTGTGGAGCCTGGGGATCACTCTGGTAAGACAACAACGTTTCAGCTCCTGTAGTCTTGTCTGTGATGGCTGAGCACGTTGAAACAGAACTGCTGCAGTGTGTGTTTGCTTTCAGTACGAGCTGGCCACGGGAAGGTTCCCCTACCCCAAGTGGAACAGTGTGTTCGATCAGCTGACACAGGTGGTGAAAGGGGAGCCCCCCCAGCTCAGCAGCTCAGAGGACAGGCAGTTCTCCCCTAAGTTCATCAACTTTGTTAACCTCAGGTGAGCAGTCAGTGTAGTGGCTCATCTGATGTGTGTGAAATACTGACAATACTTTGAAACTGCTGACAGTCAAATAATTTGTGGCCTAGTTTGTCCAGCACTTTAAAACCACACGCTCTTTATGATTGGACGCATTCTGCCACAGAGCAAACAGCTTCCAGAGGAACTCCTAGTGTATGATTGACTGTGTTCTCTCTCTGTGCAGCCTCACAAAGGATGAATCCAAACGGCCCAAGTACAAGGAGCTTCTGGTGAGATCTTTACATTTCAATTCATTCATTTCTAAGTTCCATGAGCACATGTTATGGAGCACTACATTCTCTGATTGTATTAACTACTAAAACTACTTGCACTTCAAGGCCAGAGCATTTTAGGAAGTGAATTCATTCTAAAATAACTTAATTATGGAGATGTCTATACCAGTGGTTCTCATCTCATTATGCATATGTTTATATGAGGGGTCAAAATCCCATGCTCATAAAATGCTCATATATTTTTTTCTTTTCATTCCCCACGCCCCAAAATAAATAAATATACACATTTTAGGAAAAGTAACGAAGTTTGAGCAGTGTGGGTTTTATATTAACAGTTACACATATTTCAAAACGCGAAGTGTAATAACTGCAGTTGCACAAGCCCATGTTTCTCACTAAATTGTAAGTACAACTTATTAAAAAGATCAGTTCAATGCAACTAATGTCATCTTAGTGTTATTGCATGATGTTAAAATTGGTTTGCCATGAATTTAGTGATGGACTGTAAACATTTGAAATGTAGCATTTAAGTGTTTATCAGTTACAATGTTGTTGTTTTAATAAATCAGACACTGATGGTTAGCGCTGTACTGTACCTCTTTATATAGGCATGTTTTCCCTAACAAATTGTTTCTGCGCTGATCAGGGGGTACATGGCTGGATTTTCTTTTCAAAGGGGTTACATTATTGAAAAAAGTTTGAGAACCACTGGTCTATACCATACATTTTGTATTTTTCAGTGTGTCAGTAGCTAAATAACATTTGGCTTAGAAACTAATGAAAGCAAGTCATACAAATATGTATACTAATATTGCCAAATGATATGTAAGCTTCCTTTTTAAAATGTGTGTTTATGCTCAAAGTATGTAGAACAATGCTTCATATTCTCCTTGCTACCAGTTTAACGCAAAAAGCGGGTTGTCTCAGGAACAACAACCCTGACTTCCTGCTCAGCCTGAAGCTCTCTGTCTGTCCTCCAGAAACATCCCTTCATTCTGATGTACGAAGAGCGCTTTGTGGACGTCGCCAGTTACGTATGTCGCATCCTGGATCAGTTCCCCCCCTCTCCCCTCTCCCCCATGTTTGTGGACTGATGGAGGGAACACCGGAGCCCTCAGTTATTCAGAGGAACTGAGTCTCACCGCCTGAAGCTCAAACATCTTCACTCGTCTGCAGCTGGGGAAAATTAGATGCATCTTTTTATGAAGCGAAACCGGAATAAAGCGCGTGTGTGTGAATGTACAAAATATGCAATCTGTGAGACAACATGTACATTCATCAAACCTAATGTCAGCCGCAGTATGCATCATTGTTTCAGTTAGAGCTCAGCTGAAATCCTTTACCAAGATGATCATTACACTTTTCTGTGTTTAGTTATTAACAGAATTGCAGCTTCTGTCCTTCAGTCCGATAGATCATCGATATTTTTGTCTAATGCTCAGTAAAAAAACACTTATCTTCTTTCTTGTCTGCTGATTAAAAATTATTGAAAAAATGAATTCTGGTTAGGAAAACTGCAGTAAGTGTTGTACGTGAAGGACCCTCAGATCCAACCCTGTGTTTCTCAGAGATGGGTTTCCCTCTCAGAGGAACTGAGGCTCACAGTGTTTCAGTGCTCCATGGCCGGTGGACCGTTCCTTCCTCATGTACACTGATGTAAATATGTATGTAAATAGAGCATTTCAATGTGCTGATCTGAGGCTCATTCCTGCACACATGAAACCAAAGGGTGCACAGTGACCGGCGTGTGTGTTTCAGCCTGACACTGCACAGTAAACCTCATCCACACTGATCTCAGATCACACCCTGCTGCCAGACAGAGGCCTTGTCAGAGAGAAATGCTGCTAACCGACTTCATGCCCACAGCAGAGGAGGCATGTGACTGCACTGATCACACTGTTTCCCATAGCACAGCAGGAAGCTTCATGTGAAGACACTCAAATTATTAACAATGCTACTTTTGCTTTATTCCCCCACTGTACGCTTTATTACTTTACATTACTGGGATTGCCGTACTTAAAGGGCCCCTGCGGCCGTTGTAGTGTTGTATTTTCATGAAGTTGGGAGTCCTGCAGAAGACTGATTAAGAAAGAATGGCCTGGGGCTGAGATCTCCTGATCTTCAATACTTTTTATGAAGTGAGCTTGAAAAGGAAAAGGAAAAGCCCTGATGTCATCATCTTCCAAAGCCACAGCAGCAGTGATGACCAGCTGATGATCTGACTACATTTGTGTCAAATTGGTTGACTTGGACATACAGATGTCAGCCATGCCATGTTGGAGACGGGCCCCTGCTCTCGGGATGAGTCTGGAGTTCAGTGTTCTCTCGTTTAAAACACACTTTGAATATTTGAGTCTTTTTAGCAGAAAGAGAAACACCACCATGTGGAGCATGGCGACCATCTGTCTCCTCTCAAGGGACACATCTCCAGGAGAAACATTTATCAATGGAGTTTATCAACCTCCAGGATACTGGTTGTATAAATTGCAATTGACTAGAATGTTCATATTACATTAGAAGATTTAGGTAATTGAATATAATATGGTGTCTTTATCAAGGGTTACAAATAAAGTTCCCATGGAAAGTATTGAAAAATATTGGAAACCTTTATTGTGTGCTTCTTGTGAATTAGACACAAATAAAAAAGATGACTTGTGAAAAGTGTATTGCTCTTTCTGAAGTATACAGGAATGCTGGCAAATACAGTTTCTTTTTCTTTTTACAAAAGTAAAGCAAGTCAGTGGCCAAGCAACATGGAAGCTTCTGTCCTGATGAGGGAAACAAATGAAATTTAAAAAAGCCAGCAGATATTTTCACAACCGGAGACAGGAAGTAGAGAATATTTGCTTTTCTCAAATATGTAAGATGGCCATTCAAAGCCTACATGTGACCACAGAACCCATTTAGCAGGTGCAGCACTTCACAATGCCAGGATAAGGACCAGAACACACGAGACCCATGTTAACAGACATCGTACATGTATCGTTCAATGCGCTTTCAGCAAACTTGGCATTCTGGAAAGTACATGTATGCTCTTCTGGGAGTTGGATGAGATGTCTTTAAGTTGTACATGAAGCAAAGACAATTCAACAGAACTCAATAGCATACAGGTGCTGTGTAATGTAACTACTGTGTGTCAATATGCAGTATTCACAGTAAAGATCTAAATATATTACATTTGTACTATTCACAAGGGCTAATGATGGACATGTCAACTTCATAGGATTCCTTTAAGAAAGCATGGCTTTTGGATGTGTCTCCTACACTTTGTATAACATTGAATTACTCAGAAATGTCCATGGGCAGAATGTCATCACTGGAACATCCCCATGAAATCAAAAAGAACCAATCTTCAAAGGAATGTCAGTATAAATACAGGATAACGTATAAATATCAAAAGAAAAAATAAACAACTGGCCGGGGAATAGAAAGGGTGACGTTTGTGAGGATAAATACAGATTACATCTTTTTCATTTGTCTGAACAACTGGTGTTGACTTTTGTTGGAGCATATTAATATCTGTCTACAGCTTTCACCGAATAACCAATTAATAATACTTTTAAAAGGGAAAACTTGTATAAAATTCTTATAAAAAGTTGTTGCAAACAAGGCACAGTTTGTCGATGAATATCGATAAGACCCAAGGTTTTTCAAAGACATTCATTTCTCTCCATATTCTGTGAATAAATACAGCTAATAGTGAGAAAGCTTATTAAAATAAGATTGTTCAAAGGAATGACGAGCATCTCTACCCATGTATTGGAAGCTCGAGTAAACGGACTCAAATGTGTTCAGCTGGAGGTGGGCAGTGAAATCATTTCGTCATATTTACATCATTGGATGGACTCATTACATAATACATTGTGTCTCTCCCACTGACAAAACACAGACGTCAACTTGTCTCTGTCAGTACGGATAGTTATATATTTACATAATCCATCTAATTCCTCTTGTCATTTTTTTCATTTCTTTTCCAGTAATACAAACAGACATAAATTATAAAATATACAATGTTCTTCAAAATGTGTCTTCAAGTCTAGGTGGCGTAACACTGATATTGCATAGTGTTGGTATAAAGCACAGACTTACTGCCATGTGGCGCATCGTTGTCCAGGCACATATGATGACAATCTTATATTTGGGAATGGGAACAGATAGTTTAGAGACAATTCTATAGTTCAGCGTCTCTTAATGTAGATTAAAAGAGTCCTTCATATCACAGCCCACTGTTTAAAAAAAGCCCCCTGCTGAAGCTGGTGATAGTCAATGGTTCTTTGGTGGGGGGCAGCGGAGGGCCAGCATCAGGGGCTCTCCTTCACCAGTGCTCCAGGTGAAGGTCCATGGCAGAGTTCAGGTTAATGTCTGTGACATCCAGGAACTCTGTGTTGAAGATGTTGGGGCCATTGGGCGGAGCCATACTGAAGGCGGTGGCAGAGCTGGGGGGGGTCAGGTCCAGCCACTCCATGGCCTCCCACGGTGTCTCGCTGAAAGTCATGCTGACCATCCCCTGCACCTCGGAGATGGAGGAAACTTTGGTGCTGATGGGCGACAGAGGCGTGATCAGATCTCTGTTGGTCACATGTTTGCCCTGGGGGGAGTGGTGAGGGCGGCGGTGGGGGTTGTGGGGGCTGCTGTACCCATTGCCTTCTCTGTTTGGTTCATCGTCCTGCCCCCCGTCCTCCGCAGACATTTTAAGAAGGGCCACCTCCCCACCTCGGACTATGGGACTCCCCAGCAGATTCTCCAAGTGGCTCTCGGCGATGTGATTGGCCGAGTGGTCGTAAGGGAGCTGGTTTGGGGGCAGTTGTTCGTAGTGTCTGTGGAACCGTGGGATGAGGAGGCCGGGACACCCTGGGGACACAGTAATGTGAGGGACAACTTTGGTTACAGAGGCCCTCTCCCTCTCTTCTCTGGCGTTAGCTGGCATCTCTATCAGAGAAAGAGGAGAGGGGGGAGGGTCACAGCAGGTACTGGGCTCCCATACCAATGTGATGTCACACCCACTGCATGGCAGGGCTAGCTATGCTAACAGTTCTGTGTTCCAGCTTACCTCCGCTCTCTATGAGCACGTCCAAGAGTTCGTCCATCTGCTGACTTCTGGTCAGTTGCTGTAACAGAAGGAAAGTGTTGTTGGTTTTCGCAAAAAACTATGTTTTAACAATTGAAAATGTAATGCAGTTACATTGAAGCCTTTTACATGAAACATGTAAGCTTTTTAAGCGTTCTGCAAGGACTTGCAGAGAAGAGTTTTGGTAATACAAACAGACCAGTTTTTGGTTGTGGTAAAACTTAAGGCAAAATCATTTTTCAATGACAGGTCAAACTAAACGTGTTAGTGCTGGTGGACAAAGTGTTTGCAAGAGAAAGTGTTCCTAAATGACCTACCTGCTACAGTGCTACTGATATATCAGCTGAGCCTCCACATGTTCATGTAGCTCTAACTCAACTAGTAACAGTTATTTCATCTTCAAACACTGTGTGTACATCAGCTATTGGCTTCAGTCACTTGGTGATTGGAGTGTTAATGTGTTGAACAAAGCAAATGGATGAATGAAAAAAGGTGCAATACAGGTGATGGACTGAAACAGAAAAAAGAGGTGATAGGTGGAAAAGGGGAATCAGAGCAACGCCGATAGGTCAAATAAAATCTCTGGCCAGCCATTATCCACTGAATGTCAGCATGAGTTTCAGTTTACCTGCTTCACTGCATCCTCATAGCATGGGGGCTGTCTTAAGTCTGATGCATCTGAATCTGAGCTACTGAAGGCGGGGGGGCAGACCTGGCACTTTGGGCCAACATGCCGAGGAGAGGGCAATACTGACATCTATATGAGACATAGGTGAAAATGACGTTAGCCCAACAATTAGAATAGGGAAACTTATCAAACGTGAGTGTATTGCCCATTTAAAAAAAAAAAAAAGTAAAATTAATAAATAGAAATCAGGCCCTCAGGATCAAATACTTTTGTCACATTAAAGATTTTGTTTTGATAACATGGTTGGCGTTGTCTTGTTGTAAAGGAAAAGTCACCATCATGTGAGGGAACAGAGAGAGTGACAGAACTGTAGAGACACATCACAAATGAAAGAGAGGGAAACGTCAGCTGATTCTGTTCATGCTCAGCGTTTACCTTGGGCTGCAGGGGGTGGGGCTCCGGTCGGGCCGGGTCACAGGAAGGGGGGGGATGGAAGACTCCCTGAAGGGCTTGCTGCTCAGAGGGATAAGGAAACCCCCCTGCCTGGACACCACTCTTCTGCTGCATCTGTAGGAAGGAGCGGGTACATGGAACCATGTATGTTAGAAAAAACTATACATAAAAAATGATACCCATAAATATGAGGAGATCAAAATACCAAAGATTTATATATATATATATATATATATATATATATATATATGAAGGCAACATCAGAGATATAGTAGACATTTGGCTTGTTTTCCACAGAATGATTAGTAATGATGATCAGCATCATCTGGTCAACATGTTCATTTATCCAATATGTAATCAAGCGTTAACGTTTGCTAATGAACCTGAAGAGATAAGTGAACTCAACTAAGATGACAAACAGGCTTAACCTGCAGTACAAATTGTATTGCATATCAATACATTTGCCCTTTCATGTTTAATCCACAGGAGGAAGGAGATCATCTGTCATTATTGGAACTGTGGTTTTGGGTTTACCTGATTCAAATAATGTAAAAGAGGAAACATTGGCTCATTCCCAGCACCTCGTTACGGAGGTATGTTGTTGACAGTTCTGCTGTTTGAGTGTCCGTGTCAGACCTGACCTTCACCTCACGACCTCTATTAAGCTTACCATTGATAAACAGATGCTAAATTGGCTGTAAATAGAAAGGATGTATGTTTCCATCATGTCTTTTCAGACGTGTGAAACCAGGCATGTGAAACTAGATAGAACATCCTGAACTTTTGACCTATGCGCACTATGCATTCTAGATGGGGCAATAACAGCGTAAAAGTTCCAACAATTCTGAGAAGGCGCTTGTGGTTTTTGACACCTTGAGAGCGGTTACAGCGGGTATGAAGACAATGAGTCAGGATGCAGGCGACTTCCTGGGCCAGCGAATCGTAGAGACAAGCTGTCCTTATTGTCTCTGTTAATAAATGAAGTCTCTGTTCATAAATTAAAGTATAAAGTTAGCATATTTGATATTTGATTCTAAACATGACATTGACAACGTGTTCTGCTTTCATGAAACTCGTTCATGTTCCCTCTCTTTAACAATACATATTATTACTATAAGTCTTTATTTGTTTTATTTTAACTTTACATTTTTAATTGTCCATTAAATAAAAGTTGAACATATGTGACCTCCTTCTCCCTCAAAGATAGAAAAGGGGAAACTACCTGATGCAGAGAGGGAGGAGGCAAGAGACTATAAAAGAGGATGTGTGAAGAGAAAGGGGGGCTTTTGGGGCTTTTTGAGGCTTGAAGGCTTGGGGGAAGTTTTCTGAGGCCTGGGACTGGGCCCTGGGACTGGGCCTGGGACTGGGCCTGGGACTGGGACTGGGCCTGGGACTGGGACTGGGCCTGGGACTGGGACTGGGCCTGGGCCTGGGCCTGGGCCTGGGTCTGGGCCTGGGCCTGGGACTGGGCCTGGGACTGGGCCTGGGACTGGGCCTGGGACTGGGCCTGGGCCTGGGACTGGGCCTGAACCTGGGCCCTGGGCCTGGGCCTGGGACTGGGCCTGGGCCTGGGCCTGGGACTGGGCCTGGGACTGGGACTGGGCCTGGGCCTGAACCTGGGCCCTGGGTCTGGGCCTGGGCCTGGGCCTGGGCCTGGCCCTGGGCCTGGGCTTGGGCTCTTTTAGACATCTTTTTTAGGACATTTGACTTGTGAACCTGTTGCTTTTGTATTTTGACTTGGTGTCTTTGTTATTTTTTAAGGATTCTTGTAATCCTCAATTGTTGAGGTTTCCCCTCCAGGGGCAGTTTAGATACTGCTCTGGGGTTCTACCAGCTCACCAACACCTACTACACTATACACTCCGTTTTGCTATCCTAGCGGTCGGACATCCGAGGCTGGAGTGCCTGAAATAGGGATACGACGGGCAGCTGGTGTTAGAGGCCACGCTGTAGACGCCCCCCTAAGCAGATTACGGTGATCTTGCCTGTAGATTCTGGGGGGTTTAGTCCTAAAACGATTGGACGGCCGTTCACCGGAGCCTTATCAGCACCGGAGTTCGGTATCGGAGACGGCCTAGATATTAACGTTGGTTGTGTCGAAGTTAGATTCCTTTTCAATGTTAGTTTGTTATTTAGGTCAATATAGTATCTGCAGATGAGACACACAAATCCAGCCCCAGACACTTTCTACGCTGCTATGGGCAGTCTTGCACTAATGCACTTTTCACAGATTTTGAAGTGACTGTTACTTTGTATATATTGATTGTTGTGATTTATGTATGTCTTTAATGTGTGCATATGTATGAATGTGTCTGTTGATTATGTATGTGTATATATATGTATATACATATTTGTATACATATTCTTATATATATTTGTATTTTTTATTCCTCAGGATTGTGGGAAACGGTATTTCGATCTCTCTGTCTGTACACATAGAATGCAAAATAAACTCTTACCTTGATCAAATATCATATTAGAATAGCAACATGTCTATTTCCTACATTCAGAACAGTATTATGCAGAGGTGGTACCCAGATCTTGTACTTAAGTAAAAGTATAAGTACAAGAGTGTAGGAATACTCTGTTACAAGTAAAAGCCCTGCATTCAAAATGTTATTTAAGTAAAAGTACAACAAGTAAAAGTAGTCATTGTGCAGATTGGTCTATTTCAGAATAATATATATGATATGTTTTATAATGATTGATCATGAAAGTGTTCTCAAAGCTGGTAAAGGTGCAGCTAGTTTGAATGACTTTGTATACTGCAGGGTAGCTTGTGAATTTACTCCAGGTGGAACTAAAGTCTGATTTAACACTTGATTAGATTTCACATCATTCATCCACATCTGTAAAGTAACTAAAGGCATTAAATACATGTAGTGGAGTAAAAGTACACCAGTTACCTCTGAACTGTAGTGGGTACATGTATCTCAAAAGTAACGTACTTGAGTAAATATACTTAGTTACTTCCCTATTATGTTAGATACATAGTCTGACTCAACAGAACCTAAATACATCCTACCTGCATGCTGTGTGCTCTGTTGCCCTGGGGGTGGGGGTGACCTCTTCCCGGAGGGGGGGCTAGCAGGTATGGGTTGTTAGGAGACGAAGGCTGGGGGCTAGAAGGCTTTCCAATGGGGGAGCCCTGAGGGGAGCACTGTGGACTGAGGAAAGCAGACATTGTGGGGGGGCTGCCAGAGGTAGCGTCCATACACGGTGGCCCCCCGAGGCCCCTCATGTTGGAGGGGGGTTTGCTGCAGTGTCCGACATCCTCCATGCAGCTGCTGCGAGGAGAGCACTTCAGCAGTTTGGGGGAGGACAGAGGGCAGCTGGGGGACAGGGACGTGGGCTCCTGCTTGATTGTCACCCCAAAGAAGTGCTGGCCCAACATGGCCGGAGTCCGCTGGTGGAGCATGGGGGGGTGAGGTGTGGTGTCCAGGGAAGCTCTATAGCAGCGCTTCCTCCTGTGGAGCTGCATCCTCAGCTCCTCAACCTACCAGGAGTGATTGATAAAGTGAAGGTGAGCAGATAAAGCCAGACACACGTTTGATTTAATAACAACAAAGAACATTGTTGGAGCTCTATATCTCAGTGTTTCCCCTACCATTGTCTTGGCGCGCGCCCCGCCAACGGACCCCCGCACCCCCGCACCCCCGCACCCCCCCTGAAATTCAAGGTGTTTTTGTTTTTTTTAATAATATATATATATAGCACCAAATTGCAACTAATCTACATCTACTGTCACTTTTCACATTGAACATGTGCTCTTTTATTAAATAAACTAAACACTTTCATTTGAAGTTGTGAGATTAGTGTTGTTGACCCTAAGAAACACTGATGCACTCATCAATAACAATCATCCACAGCTCCTCTCTCTGCTCCAGAGGATTTAAAAAAATTAAATATCCCCCCCCCCCCCCTGCTCAGACAGCACCCCCCCAAAGCAGTAAACCTAGGGGAAACACTGTATCTCTTTATATTATTTAATACTTAAACATTTATTTTCCTGCTGTTTATAGTGTTTATTGTAAATGTATTCTTAGTTATTGTTGTTATTAAAGTAGTTTCTATGCTTTTATTTTGAAGGCAGTTTTGGGCACTGGGTGATTAGAGCACCTGGTGTAATTGTATTGGAGACAGGTGGAGGTGGGAGCCAGAGCACTAGTAGGCAAACCGTTTTTTACCAGGGTGTTCCAAGCCACAAGGAAGGAAGCCATAGGAAGGAAGCCATAGGAAGGAAGCCATAGGAAGGAAGCCATAGGAAAGGCTAAAGGAAAGGCTAAAGGAAAGGCTAAAGGAAAGGCTAAAGGAAAGGCTAAAGGAAACCTGATGATTGCTCCATGTTAATGATATTGGATCATGGAAATAAATGCACAAACGGAGGTTCTTGTCTGAGCTGGATCATTGCCCTGCGTAAGTTCCGCTAACTAGTGCCTCAGCGGCAGTGTTATTTTAAGTTAATGATCAGTTTCATTTCTATATGATTTTGGCCGCTACAAACATGGTTCCAGGATTACGTTTCTGTCCAAGTTTTGACTCTGCCTTTGACTTGTGTTGCAGTGCATGATGCTGGTGTTCAGTCAGTGCTCTCTGATTTGCTCCCTGTTTAAGGATGCCTGGCCCTGTATTGTAACTGATATTCTGCATGGCACTCACCTGTCTCTGCTCCTGGTGCAGCTTCCATGTCAGCTCCTCAATCACCTTCTGCTTCTCCACCAGCATCTTATCTTTTTCAGCTTCCACGCCATTCAAACCTCCACCCTCCCCCGACCTCGTCCTGCCCCTGCCCAGGCCGTCCTCCATGCTGAGCTGGGCCGGGGAGGGCTGCAGGGTGAAGAGCGTTGGCGAGGACATGGGCACGTCACTGAAGCTGTCTGGCAGAGAACCAGTGAGGGACAGCTCTGAGGAGGCGGGGGAGATGGGAGGGGTGGAGGAGGTGCTGGGGTAAGGGTAGTAGCCCCCCTGGGACGGGGACTGGTAGGAGGACAGGGATGCTGTAGGTGTGACAGGGAAGGTCACTGTGGTGATGTCAGAGGAGCCGGAGGGGGAGGAGCCAGCGTTGGAGTCCTTGAAGGGGCGGAGTCTCTCGATGAGGGCCGTCTTGGTCCCGGAGACAGGCATGCCGCGGACACGCAGCTGCTGCCTGAGCTCTGACACCTGCCGGCAGAAGAAGACGTCCTGAAGGCTCTCTTATAGGTTTATACTTTTCTTTAATCTTTGTCTCTGTAAAACCTACCTTCAGATCATCCAGGTTGGCTGGCAGGGGCCCGGGGGGGGCCGGGGACATGCTGCTGCTGCTGCTGCTGTACGTGTTCTTGACCGGGGAGGAAGAGCTGCTGTTGGCCTGACTGGATGGAGCTGACAACGTCTCACTGACTCCTCTGGGTGGGAGAACCAGAGGGAGAACCACAGGGTGAATGACAGGGAGAACCACAGGGAGAACCACAGGGAGAACCACAGGGAGAACCACGGGGTGAATGACAGGGAGAACCACAGGGAGAACCACAGGGAGAACCACAGGGAGAACCACAGGGAGAACCACAGGGAAAACCACAGGCAGAACCACAGGGAGAACCACAGGGAGAACCACAGGGAGAACCACAGGGTGAATCACAAGGAGAACCACGGGGTGAATCACAGGGAGAACCACAGGGAGAACCACAGGGAGAACCACAGGGAGAACCACATGGTGAATCACAGGGAGAACCACAGGGTGAATCACAGGGAGAACCACAGGGAGAACCACGGGGAGAACCACAGGGAGAACCACGGGGTGAACCACACGGAGAACCACAGGGAGAACCACAGGGAGAACCACAGGGAGAACCACGGGGTGAATCACAGGGAGAACCACGGGGTGAATCACAGGGAGAACCACAGGGAGAACCACAGGGAGAACCACGGGGTGAATCACAGGGAGAACCACGGGGTGAATCACAGGGAGAACCACGGGGAGAACCACAGGGAGAACCACGGGGAGAACCACGGGGAGAACCACGGGGAGAACCACGGGGAGAACCACGGGGAGAACCACAGGGAGAACCACAGGGAGAACCACGGGGAGAACCACGGGGAGAACCACGGGGAGAACCACGTGGAGAACCACGGGGAGAACCACGGGGAGAACCACAGGGAGAACCACGGGGAGAACCACGGGGAGAACCACGGGGAGAACCACAGTACAGACGTGGGAGCATTTTCTTATATAAGGCAAGCTTTCAAAAAGTATCTCTATTCATTGTTAAACGTCTTCCACTAAAGCTATACACAGTACTTAGCCAACTTCAATTGACTCACCGTTAAGTTCTGCTTGTTGAGAATAAGAAACTGAAGCTTAACTAACGCACAGTAATCTGAATGACCTACTCCAGAGCTTTTAACCGCATCTCATATTATCACCCTTCATTCTTCATCACTCAATGTTCATGGAGTGACTTTACCCAAGCTCCATTCACAACAAGACTGTACTGTCCTGTAGTTAAAAGCTTCAGAAAGGGGGGGGGGGGGGGGGACTTTGATTCAACTCACTTGTTTGCTTGGGAGGGGAGGTGAGGCTGAAAGCTGAAAGACGGCTGCCGCTGCTGAGCCTGGGCCTGTGGAGTGTGTGTGTGCAGGTGTGTGTGAGCGTGCTTCTGCTGGCTGAGGATCTGCAGCTGCAGGAAGAGCTGCTGCTGCTGCAGGAGGCGCGCGTAGGCTGAGTCCATGGGCGGGGGGGACTTCTCTGCCTTCTGGTCCGGAGGAATGTACTGGTGGTACTTGAGCTTCTTCACCTTGGGCTTCACATCTTTGGGCTTCTTGTGCCGGTTCTTGTCTGAAGACTTGGACTGAGGAGAGGAAGCAGGGGACATTAGTGAGAGGCTCTTCACCAGTCAGTGAGAAACACACAAGCCAAGTGGATACATTTAGCTGACCTTCACAAGAGCAGGGACAGGTATTGGGGGGGAAGTCTGGCTCCTGTCGGAAGCAGACAGCCCCTCATCCTGGCTGTGATCTGCGGGGGGGTCTCGGTGTGCTCGTCCCTGGTCACACATCACAATCAAACAGTGAATACAGTGCACACACCTGTATGCCCCCCAGTCCATAACGTCTGTCAATATATTCAGCAATGCTTTGAGCTAAATGCTAACTAGCTGCTGATCTACCTCAGGATAATGAAGGCCCACTGTGTGTAAGTAATGTCCGTATATGCTAATCCAAATGGAAGTATACCTAAAATGTCTTCCTTCTTTTGCAAAAGGGTTCCAGGAAGTTTAAGTAGGCACTGAAACAGCGCTAATTATGTAGTTGTAAGGAGGTGGATATATATATATATATATATATATATATATATATATATATATATATACATATACAGTGATAAAACCTGTTCTGGTATGAATTTCGATCACATGATCTTTGGCCTGAGGTCAATGGAGTACAGTGCAGGTTCTCTATGCCACCAGCAGAGGACAGCAGAAGTTAAGCAGTGACAGCAGCTGGTAGGGTGGCAGACGGACAGATGTGTTACCTGTGGGAGGGAGGAGAGGGCAGGTGAGGAGGAGGTGGAGGAGGGCGTAGCGGCAGCAGCCTCTGACTCCTCGCTGTGCTGCTGCTCTGGAGACAGACTCTCACTGCTGCTGTCCTCCTCGAATGCGTACGAGTCCTCCTGCTGAGGGAACTTCCCGTGGTTCACTGAAGAAGAGCACAAAGGCATTCACAATCCCATCATCAGCCAGGACTTTAAGCACTCTATGTGGAGGTCAGTCTGAACGTGAGCACATCCTTAAGGTCACACGCTGGCTCAGAACGCCTGCTGTAAACTAGGCTGATTGTTTTACTATCTCTTTGTTTCTCTGTCAAATAAATGTGGCTAACCTGTTCTGAAGCGCATGTGATGTCTCCGTGTTTCACTTACCTATTGTTTAAAAAGAACCAAAGCTTGGTTCCTTTAATCATTGAAATGATTTGATGTAACAGTTATTTGAGGTGTACAGCTAAAGGCTGGATTGATCAGCCAGGAGAGGCTCAGCATGTTGGAGAGGGGCCCTGAAGGGCTCTGATGAGAGGCTCACAGCTTCCCTTTGGGGGTGATGGCTTCTACACGTTTAGAAACACCTTCTGCCAAAGTCAGAACACTTGTGAGAATCTGTCTTTGCTCTTTGTGTCTTCTTCCTGATTTGCAACCTACAAAATAAAAACATTTGAAAGAGGTGATGTGTAACTAAGTTTGATTGGTGATGAAAAGAGCCTTTTATTAAAAAGTGTTTGGATGTATGTCTGGGATACCCAGCAGCACACTCAACCTGAGGTGTGACAGACTGACACCCCCACTCTACACACTTGGCTCCTCATTGGCTGTGCTGATAGTGAGCACAGCTTTAATCAGTTTTAATTGGACGAGCTAAGAGTGGTTATCTCACAGAGCTGAAGGCACAGAGGAGGTGGGGGGGGTGTGTGTGTGTGTGTGTGTGTGTGTGTGTGTGTGTGTGTGTGTGTGTGTGTGTGTGTGTGTGTGTGTGTGTGTGTGTGTGTGTGTGTTATAAGATTCTCTTTTTGTATCCAAACATGTGACAGGCAGGAGCATACCCTGGTTTCAATCACCACACACACACACACACACACACACACACACACACAGACACACACACACACACACACACACACACACACACACACACACACACACACACACACACACACACACACACACACACACACACACACACACACACACTCAGTGTAAATGAATGTATCGATGTGTGCTCTCTGCCTCATGCTGGTCTGCAGGACTGATCTGAGAGCTGTTGATACTTCTGCTTTTCAAGTGGCTGCCCAGGAAGCAAGTCACAAGTCCACAACGAGCAGGCAGAGGGATGTGTTGTAGGGACATGGGGCTGTGAGCTGAAGGGTTAATGCTGAGGCGGAGGGGACGCAGCCTGCTGCTGTCACTGAGCTTTGTAGGAGGCCTGTTAAAGCAGAGACAAATGCCGGGGGGACGGGGGACGGGGTGGACGGGCAGTAGGTACAAACATACACATAGGTACACCCACACAAGGATGCACTCAAACACACATCCCCACTTGAAAAGAACAAGGGTGTACCCAAATACAGCTGCTGTTCATCTCAATAAACGGCACTCCACCCCTCCTGCAGAGGTAGTGTAAACACGCTGCACCCCGCCCCCCCTCCCCTTTTACGCAACATGTTTACTGGAAGCTGGAGGGGTGAAAAAAACCTTCCAAAACACCAGAGTCTAACAAACACCAGAGTCTAACAAACACCAGAGTTGTAAATGAATTTTCTTTGTCTAAATGTTTGGGTCCCACTTTCTAAAAATGTGGCCTTTATTACAGCTTTATAATTTGATTGATTGATAATATCTAATTTGTCAATGCTTTATAGATCAGTTATAACCCAGAAATAACAACACATTTGGATTGAGTTCATTACGAATTTCCCATTCTATTTGGTTGTGATATAAATACAAAAACGACCTAACACAAAAAGATGTTCATAAACAACAGGTGGTTGTAGTGGCACATAGGCTTGTTCATGTAATGACACCAATAGGTGCAGCTTTGAAAGCCTTTAGAAAGAACCTCAAAACAAATATACTGCTACTTTCTGACCATGGTGTACATATCAGCTATTATGTTTTTGTTTTTGACTTTCTGTCGTAGCGTGCGCATACTTGGCAAGTTTATTTGCAATATCTGCTGTTGTGATCGTGTAAATGTCCCCGTTACGGGACAAATAAAGGACTTCTGATCTGATTCTGAAGTGGCAGGAACTCATATTGGGAATCAGATGGTCACTGGTTCGAGTCCCTGCACAGACCAAAGAAATCAAATAAAGGTGTTATGGTTGGTAGGTGGACAGGTTCACCTCCTGGGCCCTGCCAATGTGTCCTTGAGCAAGAACTCCAACAGCTGTCTCTTAATGCATGTTTGACCTAATATGTATGGGTCCTGTCGTCGTCTTGTTAAAAATGTAGCCTGTAACTTAAGACGTAGTTTACTTATTTGAATAAAGTATGGATATAGTACCTTACAAAGATGGCATTTCATTGAGCTGAGTGTTTTATGCAAAGCAACTTAACACAACAGAACACATTCAGAACAGCAAGAAACCAAACTGGAGATCATGTCAGCATCCAAGACACGCACGCACGCACGCACGCACGCACGCACGCACGCACGCACGCACGCACGCACGCACGCACGCACGCACGCACGCACGCACACACACACACACACACACACACACACACACACACACACACACACACAGCCACACTATCCAGTTTTTATATTTTCCTTCAACAACACTTCCTGTTCCGCCTTGTATTTTCAACACATGATCTTTAGAGCTACCTATTCATTTGGTAAATGATGAATGTCTGTCTGATTAAAAGTGTCTTTACAAAAAGTGTGGTCATGTTGTTGTTATCAGTGTTTGTCTCTGGGGGGTTGAAACACTTCACACCAGTATAAATCATCAGTGCAGGAGAACTGAAGAAGGACAAGTAGTTCTATGGAGAGAGTCAGGGAAAGAGAAAAGGAGATGACTTAAAGGTTGGGATGAAGGAGGCGTTCTGCTCCTGAGTGAGTCTGATGGCTCTGAGTTGTTCAAGAAAGAAGGAAGGCAGAACAAAAGAAAAAAGGGAACATTCAGGTTCTTATCAAGGGGTTGGAAGAATAAAGAAATAAAATGATTAAGAAAGAAACAAATGAAATCTTAAATTGAAATGAAAATCTAAGGAAAAATTCAAATTCAAAGAATAAATTGAAAGTTGAAACGAAGGTTGCAGACTAGAAGGACAAAGAAAGGAGTCATGAAAAGAGACTCATGTGGGTAGAAGTTCATAAAGAAAAGTAGCAATACATATTGTTAGAAAAAGGAAATGAAAGGGACAGATTGAAGAAGGGAGGAAGGAGTGAGGCCTCCTGTCGGCCTCGCTCTGCTCAGAGGAGCAGGAAGTCACAGAGCAATGCTCACCTGCCACTGACATGCCTGATTTAACACCTGAGTTCACATCCAATGGACACACACAGCATAAAGTGTGTTTCAACTGTGTAAGCAGAGTGAAACATGTCCGAGCACGGCTCCGCTGTGGGCACAGTGTAACATGATCCGCTGAGTCGCAAGCTGGCTCACACACTTTGAAACATTCTGCAGCAGTATTCAAACACAGGACGCACTTTAAACCGCTTGCAATGCATATACCTGCTGACGGTATCTGTTCAATGTAAACATTACACTTAGAAGTAAGACGTATGGTGCATTAGGCTCCAATAATTCCCTTTGTGTCTCAATCCACTGAGAATTAAAGTGCCGCTGCTGTGGGAATGGAAATATGTGTTTGGATGTGTGCGCATGCAGAAAGAAGCACATTAAAGCTCAGCTACAGCCCGTTTATCTTTATGAGGAAATATTAGATTGTGTGTGTGTGTTCAGACTTGTGGCCAGTCAGACAATGTGCTGCTCTGCAGGCCACACGCCAGTCAGCCTAAGAGGCTGAATAGCCTAATAAACACCAGATGTTCCGCGGGTAATATATACACAGACCCTGTGCCGTGTCCATCTCCCCAGCAGGAATAACACATCAGCACAGAGGGGAAGGATGCCGCTACGCCCTGAAACATCTATTTGATACATTAAGAGCTGGGAGGACAAATGATGCTGCTGCTTTAGAGAGTGCTCATACATCTACTGTGTGGCTGTGAGAAAGTGTGTACTAACAAATACAAGTCTTTGAAACGCTCTTCCATGTGCGCCACCGCCTGCAATCAAGAGATAAACAGCCAATTGAAATGTCTTTTTAAAAAAGCGCTTGCAGCCTCGCTGGCCAATTGCCTTTCCCCTTGCTGCCTTATCTGTGACAGACTCCTAGAAAGTGATATGGCCTTGCCGGGCCTCTGGATTCCGTTCCCCCGCACACTTACGTTTATCTGGAGGCTGGAGCCTCTGTGAAATGGCAAACGGTGCCAGAGATATCAGTCAACAAGTCTTTCCTGCACACTGGCATGGCTCACTGCTGTCACGTTTGCAAAGACGACACAGTGTTTAAGAAAATGTATACAATCTAGGTTTATGATGTAAAAAAACGTCAGTTTCTTATGAATATTGTACATTTTGATTTTGTAAATGGCATTAAAAACCTTTCTATGTGTAACATTTTTACCATGAAGTGTGTTTGCAACATAACAGTGCTGCCATTACCTAAAAAACATGAGAGGCCGTTTATCAGAGCAATCATAGAATACTCAGTACGCTCAGGTCCGCTATGTCTCATAGCAGGCATCTATGTGTGTGTGTGTGTGTGTGTGTGTGTGTGTGTGTGTGTGTGTGTGTGTGTGTGTGTGTGTGTGTGTGTGTGACATGAGAGGGTATTAGTGGTTGTATGACATCGTAGCAGTGGTGTTCATATCTTAAAGTCAGGGTGACGAGAAACCGGCACTAAAATTCTCCATATTTGATGTAGACTAATATTTTTGGAAGCAAAGGTAACTCTGGGCTTTGATTGGCTGCTCCTTGTCACATTACAAGTGGCTGCGCGGATCTAGATCACCCGCTGGTTCCAGAGCTACACTTTCTCTGCTCCTTTCTGTCTCTTTTAAAAGCTCTCCCATTAGCATGTCATGCAACATGGTGGACCCGAGCCTGGCATAACAGACTTCTATGGCTTCTGACAGCTCAATTAGTAGGTCTGATAGCCTGGGAATGACTACAGGACTCCAGACCCAACAGTCAAAGTCATGTGATTAAAGGCTTCTAAAAACTGCGTTCCAATATTTGCCAAATATAAATGATTGAACCATGAGAAAGGTTAAAGTGCCGATTGCAAAGGAAATAACTACTTATATTTTCCACACTGCCGCTGGATATGTTATCTCCCTGCAGGACAGCCTGTGGGTCTGACTCCCTTCAATATTCAGAGGAAAATAGTTCTGGATTCAGCTATTAGTGAATTGAACAACTTCTAAGACCAAATGATTGAAATAAGGTCAAGTCTTCATACTGCAAGTCGGTTTCACCAACAACAACAAAATGCTGATTAACAGGCGTCTCATTCACAATTTAAAAAATGTCTCTTTTGAACACGGGCTGTCATTTCTACGCTTTGGCCAGTATGTTAGAGTGACGCTGTTCCTGTATCCAATTCTCTGGAATGCCCCCTAGTGGCCAACATATCGTTATCTGTTTAACCAACTGTGGATGTTATGCCAACCTTCAAAAAGCAGACACCATGATTATGCCTATTCCCCTTGTCATTAGACCCACTGTGGGTTATAGGGTCACATCACTCACAAAGGCTTATGCTCACTAACCCCTACCATGTAGTCTATAATCATTACCATATCTTTGATTTTGTTTGTTAGGTTTGTTCTTACGACAAATTCAAAAATATCTATTCTCACAACACCTTTAGTGAGGCTTATGGTATTATTATAAAGACTTAAAAAAGGTCATTAGCTATGTAACGGCAACAATGTTGCAATTTGTCCGCCTTTTACAAGGTCTAGCAGTCTAAAGCATGGACGTGAGAGTGTGTGTGTGTGTGTGTGTGTGTGTGTGTGTGTGTGTGTGTGTGTGTGTGTGTGTGTGTGTGTGTGTGTGTGTGTGTGTGTGTGTGTGTGTGTGTGTGTGCATGTGCGGCGGCTCTGTGTTGGAAGGTGTTACTCACGAGGCATGATGCCTTGGTCTACCAGCTGCATTCGTGTCCTCCTCTGCTGGAGTCTGAACTGTAGGACTGAAGATAAGGGAGGAGGAGGAGGAGGAGGAGGAGGAGGAGGAGGAGGAGGAGGAGGAGGAGGAGAGGAGGGGAAGAGTAAAAAGGAAGGAGAATTGAGAAAAAGATTTGAAAGGACAGGTAAGGGACAGACAAAAAGCAGGAAGACACTGAGAATTCAACCCATTTAAAACACTGTTTCTCAACTCAAAGTAAATGGTACTTCAGCTGCAGGCCAAGTACAGGTCTGCATGTATGTGTGTTTCCATATTTACATATGCGTTCAGGAAACACAGGAACAACATGCTGCTCGCTCACACATACTTCTGCAGCAGGATGTAGGGAATGATAAACACAGCTCCTGGCTTTTAAACAGATCTGTCAGCCAGTGTGTGGTCTGCAGCGTGTGCGCAGCTTTCTGCGTGCTGTGTGTGTGTGTGTGTGTGAGTGTGTGTGTGTGTGTGTGTGTGTGTGTGTGTGTGTGTGTGTGTGTGTGTGTGAGTGTGTGTGTGTGTGTGTGTGTGAGTGTGTGAGTTGTGTGAGTGTGTGTGTGTGTGAGTGTGTGTGGTGTGTGTGTGTGTGTGTGAGTGTGTGTGTGTGAGTGTGTGTGTGTGTGTGAGTGTGTGTGTGTGTGTGTGTGTGTGTGTGTGTGTGTGTGTGAGTGTGTGTGAGTGTGTGTGTGTGTGTGAGTGTGTGTGTGTGTGTGAGTGTGTGTGTGTGTGTGAGTGTGTGTGTGAGTAGTGTAGGTGGGAGTGCGGGTCATAAACACAGAGCCTCCCCCCTGTCTGTGGCTCGGCTCGTGTCTGTGTGCTTCTCCTCCTGCTATCTGGAGGCTCTCTGTGAGTATGAAGTGTTCCTCCACGTCCTGCTTGAGGGTCTCCCTCAGGTGCTTCATCTCACATTCAAGCATTTTATGAATGTTCTCAAACCTTTGATGTAATCACTTTTTAAACAGTTTCCCTGGGGGGCCATATGGTAGTGCCCTCCATTATCTAACACCATGCAGACCCTGCCCATCATCGGACAGCTATATTAAGCTTTAGATTACATGGGGGGGGGGGGGGGTCCCAACATCACAGAGAGCCAATACAGCATTCGCTGCTCTTCCAAAATATGTAAGTGATAACCTGCTAAGGGACGTTCATTGTCACCTCCACCAGAAGGAATGCAGTCCGTATGTTCACACACTGCATGTCCAGGTGGGGTCTCTCTGTCATGCTCAAAGCTAACGGCGGTGGAATGTAGCTGTGAGAGGCTCTTTGATTTGAACTCATGAAGGATGAATTATGTTTACTGTCCATAATTCTGAATGAAAAAGCTTTCTCTTAAGAGTCTTGTCACACAGCCCACCTAGCTGAACGCCATGCTGTAGATGTGGGGACAAGCCACGTCACTGTATCTGTTTTGTTCCTGGGCGGAAGGTGCTACAAACGCTCTGTCAAAGTTCTAATGACTTCAACTTTGACCTCTATGTCTTTTTGACGTGCAACCACAGACACAGCAGCTAGCAGTGGAGGTAACCATGGAAACAACACCAAAAAGCTGCAAAGGGTTTCTGTCCCATGTTGGGGTTGGCAAAAAAAAAACGTGCAAGATCTGAGTAGTTCTCCGTCCTCTGGCACAACCCATCCAGCTAATGCTGAACTATTAGGACTGGTGTGTTTCTGTTCCTATGTGATGCTTCTGTCAAGCTCACGTGACACCCAAACAAACAGTAGTGTGCCTCACTTCATCCAGCTTCTCTGTCATGACAAGAGTAAAGGGATGAGCCTTGCTGTAACAGATCTAATAAACAGGTATTCCTGAATGAACTGTTCTTGTCAAATACTGCTAATATAACATCAGTCACATGTGCAATGCCATCCCTTTGGCTCTGGGCACTTAGAGAACTGTTTGTAGAGGTGCAGGAGGACACAGTCTGTGCAGGAGCCTCAGTGAACGGGATTGAAGTCAACTCTTTACATTTAGTTGGAAATCTCTTTCTTTCATTTGTATCTGTTTCCAGAGTGCCTTTCATTATATGTCTTGTCTCTTGTATTATTTACCATGTCAGCAAGAATATAGGTCATTGGAGTAATATTTGTTTTTCTCACCAGCTGATTGTCCGTTAAATGCGCAACATGATGAGCACAAAATGATTATCCTAAAAGCAAAGTCAAAATGAAGATACAGTTGATAAGCATCCTCCTAAATGACAGTGTTTAATAACGTTTTGTCATTTTTTGGATGAATCAATTATCGTTTCATACCTTAGCAGTATGTTGTTCTCAGTAACTCATGTGGTGGTGTGTGTGTGTGTGTGTGTGTGTGTCTGTGTGTCTGTGTGTCTGTGTGTGTGTGTGTGTGTCTGTGTGTGTGTGTGTGTGTGTGTGTGTGTGTGTGTGTGTGTGTGTGTGTGTCTGTGTGTCTGTGTGTGTGTGTGTGTGTGTCTGTGTGTGTGTGTGTGTGTGTGTGTGTGTGTGTGTGTGTGTGTCTGTGTGTGTGTGTGTGTGTGTGTGTGTGTGTGTGTGTGTGTTGTGTGTGTGTCTGTGTGTGTGTGTTGTGTGTGTCTGTGTGTGTTGTGTGTTGTGTGTGTGTGTGTGTCTGTGTGTGTGTGTTGTGTGTGTGTGTGTGTGTGTGTGTGTGTGTCTCTGTGTGTGTGTGTGTGTGTGTCTGTGTGTGTGGTGCTTGGAGTTTTGATTTAACTAATAATTGGTGCCTTAGTCATCCTATCAGGTCATGGCAGTGAGCAAGTTCACGGGCCGCAGCCCTTTGAGCTGTTAATCAAGTCGGCATGAGAACTAGTCAGTAACACACACTCACACAACTATGGCGGTCCACAGGGAGCACTTAGAGGAGATCTGTATCTTTTCCTTTAGCTTCAACCATGCAGCGGCAGTTCCCATGGCTTTTAATAATGTTCCCAAAGTGTGCTGCAGAAGGAGCCCAATTAATGCTTTCCTTACTGAGAATATTTGGAGCTTCACATCATCTTCACAGAGAGATTCATGGATGTATCTATTTATCTTACGCACAACATTCATTCACTCATAAAGTCACCTGACCAGCCGTATCAGTTGTATTGGTAAGCAGGCTGGTATAGATGACCTACCAAGGCTGTACAGACAGTATATCTACACCTGCACGATATTAACATGATCTGATAGAGGCTGTGTCGAGCAACACAGAAAGAGGCTCCTTGAACACAACCCTTCACCCTGTCACGCTCCTGAAGCACCGGACACATTCCCACCGGACACATTCCCACCGGACACATTCCCACCGGACACATTCCCACTGGACACATTCCCACCCTGCAGATCTGCTCTAAACAACTCAGAGGAAAAGCATCTTTTACTCTGCCCCTGCCCCCCCCCCCCCCCCCCCCCGCCTGCACATCACAGCATCAGTTACATTTCCCTCAGGGAGGGGGCAGTGTTGGTCAGAATACACACACTGTTTGTGTGTGTGCACAAACACAAATGCACACTATACACTAAACTAAGAAGTGTGTGTGTGTGTGTGTGTGTGTGTGTGTGTGTGTGTGTGTGTGTGTGTGTGTGTAAAGGAGCCAGATGGATACAAAGCCCTCCCAGCTGCTGTGTGTTAAAGGGATCTGACCCTACCTCCCTCTTTGATATGTGCAGGTACACACACACAAGCCCCATCAGCTTCATTAAGATAACCTCTGACCCTTCTCAGTGTGTACTGGGCCTTTATCAGCGAGCACCGAGCAGCAGAGGAACGCTCCCATGCCCCCCCCCCCCCCCAGCAGCAGGTTAGCTGCTAGCAGGCAGGCAACAAGTGCGCTGACCTGGCCCGGACCCCCCCTTACAGGACGGGCTCACACAGAGGTGGATGGACAGCAGGAAGGCTGCATATTGATCAGAGTGACGGAGCTCAGGACTTCCTCTGGTATTCCTCACACAGCCACATGCTCGTGTTAAAGACACTAAAGATACCATTGTGGGTCCACTCTACTCATCCAAGACAGATGAATGGCATAATGTACACAGGCAAACTGTGTGTATACAAACACTGTTCCCTGATCAGTGCATACACAGGAACAAACAAGCCTCATGTCACTCACCTGATCTGAACTTGCTTCGTATCAGTATGGAGTGCTCAGAGCCCAGAAGAGTCATAATGCTTACAGTACAGTTCCAGTGTTCAAAAGTTGCAAAATAAAGTGTACACTCGAAAAGCGGTACACACTTGGACCCCCCTGCCCCCTCTGGACTCCAGACTGAGAGGAGATGGAGTGGACCCTCGCCTCATCAACAGCTCCAGAGGGAAAGTGAAGGAGGAGCAGAGTGGGAGTCTGGTGGTGCAGCTTTGATCCCATCCAGCTGAGAACTGAGAGCAGGCCCGGCACAGAGCTCAGATATGCCCCGCTCGGGGAGGGGCTCCGGGGCCAGGGTTTCCTCTTAGCCCCGCCTGCCTCAGCCCCGGGGGCTGGACAGGGCTTGGCTGATGACTTCTTCCTCCCTTGCCACCGGTGTAAATATATCTGCCTATCAGCTGCTGTCATTAGAGGAGAGAGGAGGAGAAGATCAAGATAGAGACAGGCAGCACAGCCAGGAGGCAGGAGGAGGGGGACGCTTCATATGTTGCCTTCTTGCAGCAGAGTATAAGTGACAGGAGGTGCAGCAGGTGTACATGCTTACAACTGTATTGGCTCCCATTGAGGTGTGTCCAACTATTACCAAGTAGAAGCTTCATCAAATGCAGTATACATTTAAAGTGTGATTAAAAAACATATTCATTATGATCACTGTTGTAAGACGTACTTATATCTTATACTTAAGTAAAAGTAATAATACTGCAGTTACAAGTAAAAGTCCTGCAATAAAAATTATACTTAAGTAAAAATACAAAAGTATTAGCAGCAAAATAGACTGAAGTACCACATCTAAAAGTACTCTTTATTCAAAGTGGCAATTTTTTTAATAATATATATTATATAACTGGATTAGTGATGCATTCATTTGGTCATTATTTAAATGTCGCAGCTGGTTAAGGATAACATAACTTTAATGACTTTTAATACTGCCATGTAACTCCATCAATCATGTATTATTTAATTACATTTTTGTATTAATAATATGAACCTTAAAAAAAACCCTGAATGACCAGAAACTAATATTGTCAAAATATATATAGTAGATTAAAAAGTACAATATTTGACTTTGATCTATTGAAGAACACAACAATTACCTCATTCACACCAACGGTGTTTCAGGGCCGGTGCGGAGCTGGAGCTTGAAAAGCTCCGGGTGTTCCTGTTCACACCGCAGCAGAGCCGCCTCTTATGCCCCTTTCACACCAACGCAACTCCGGTTCAAGCTCCGTGCTAGAGCTTTTCTGGTTCAGAACCGGTTCTTCGGTTTAGCGCCGGCTCTTTTCACACCGCTCAGAGCCCGACTGGTGCTGCCGCTGCTGCGTCATGACGTCACAGTTTACGTCGCTGAGTTTCTCCCCAACGCCGGAGCTCACCTCACAATAACAACGGGCCGGGGACTGCGTTGCTTTTAATCATACGAAGCCAGATTAAATTAAATAACGACTTCTCCAACCTTATACTTTTCTCCAGAGTGCCGTGGTTCATTGTTTATTAATGTGTTTCAGCGGCATTTACCGACCGCTGCAGTGCTGCTGCTCTTCCACGAGTGTATTCTCCCGTTAGCTCCGGGTTAGCTCACACGGCTCTAAAGTATTCACTGTCTGACTGTCACACAAGCAGCTGATACATATCCCCAGTTCCCCTTAAGTGAATGTGTGTCAGTCTGAATTGACGCTGTTTGGTGTCAGTCTGAATTGACGCTGTTTGGCATCACAACGCTGTTATGAAAGTTTCTCTGGTATAACATGGGTGATGTTAGCATAGCAACCGAAGCTAAACTGACTACTTGCTAAGCAGTTTTCTACAGGCACTTTTTACCGACGTATTTTTCATTATGATTCTACTTGTGATAGTCGGACATGACAACCTGTGCAGCCCATGTATTGATTCCATCCGATAGCTGCTATAATAACAAACAAAACGCCTGCCTGCTCTCCACAATGATCAATAACAGCGAACGGATGGTCAAAGTAAGGTACAAATAAACAGAATCACACGAAGCCTGGTTAGTGTTGCCTGACTTTATAAAGTGTGTTTTTTTTAACAAGTGTGTGGTTGCGTTCTAGTCACTTTGCTCAGCACTACTGCTTGTTACAACTTTTATTTGCCGTACTCGCCTTAAGTGTTAGCTCAGGTTAATCTCGCCCACCTCCGACGTAAGCGTGACGTATGCGGTTCTTGCTTCTAGACGGACAACTTTTTGGTGCTCGAAACGAACCGGATTCCGGAGCTATGACGCTGCTCCGCTGCGGTGTGAACAGGAAAACCCGGTGCTTTTCAAGCACCAGCACCGAACCGGCCCTGAAACACCGTTGGTGTGAAAGGGGTATCTGCTCCGGAATCCGGTTCGTTTCAAGCACCAACAAATAGTCCGGCTAGAGCAAAAGCACCGCATACGTCACGCTTACGTCGAGGCGGGGGCAGGGGCAGGGGCGGGATCAACTCCTGAACAACAACAAAAAGCCTGCGCTTTATCCAGTTTGTACACAACGATGGAGAAACTTAACAAGCAGCAGTGGTCCACTGAAGAGACCAGCTACCTACTGGTCTTCCATTTCCTTTCGACAGAGCAAAACAAAACGAGTAGCGCTTCAACACAATCGGCCATTGTTGTTGTTGTTGTCGGTGTGAGCTGTGAGGGGTTTCCGCGCGGTTTGGCTTTATGAAGCAGGCACGCAAACGGTTACGTCATGACGCAAACGATGACGCAATGACGCAGCACCAGTCGGACTCTGGGCGGTGTGAAAAGAGCCGGAGCTAAACCGAAGAACCGGTTCTGAACCTGAAAAGCTCTAGCACGGAGCTTGAACCGGAGTTGCGTTGGTGTGAATGAGGTAAATAAGTGCTGAGTTGAGTGCAGTCGGCCAGCGGCAGAGAGGCTGCTCTTCTTCTTCAGCCTTCATCCAGCTTCCCTTCCTCCAGCTCCCACTCTGCAGCAGGCGGACGTCTGTCAGAGTTCAGAGCTCTGAGCGTCTGTCAGAGTTCAGAGCTCTGAGCGTCTGTCAGAGTTCAGAGCTCTGAGCGTCTGTCAGAGTTCAGAGCTCTGAGCCTCTGTCAGAGTTCAGAGCTCTGAGCGTCTGTCAGAGTTCAGAGCTCTGAGCGTCTGTCAGAGTTCAGAGCTCTGAGCGTCTGTCAGAGTTCAGAACTCTGAGCGTCTGTCAGAGTTCAGAACTCTGAGCGTCTGTCAGAGTTCAGAGCTCTGAGCGTCTGTCAGAGTTCAGAGCTCTGAGCGTCTGTCAGAGCTCAGACCTCTGAGCGTCTGTCAGAGTTCAGAGCTCTGAGCGTCTGTCAGAGTTCAGAACTCTGAGCGTCTGTCAGAGTTCAGAACTCTGAGCGTCTGTCAGAGTTCAGAGCTCTGAGCGTCTGTCAGAGTTCAGAGCTCTGAGCGTCTGTCAGAGTTCAGAGCTCTGAGCGTCTGTCAGAGTTCAGAGCTCTGAGCGTCTGTCAGAGTTCAGAGCTCTGAGCGTCTGTCAGAGTTCAGAGCTCTGAGCCTCTGTCAGTGCACAACGTTAGCAGCAAGGCTTCCTCTGAGCCGCTTTATTTGCAGGCTTCATTTGAACATCTCAGCGCAGTGCTTGACGGTTGGCACAGCAGTATCTCAAATCTATCCCAGTCAGATGTTGTGGGGAGGTTATGATGGGTGTTTTTTTCAGCAGGGCTAGTGTCTCACTTAAACCACATTAAAGCTTTACTGGCTGAGCATGGCCTAAGATTTTCAAAAGAATTATATAAAAAAAAATGTTTTCATTAGTTATACCTAAATTACTTATTACTTATTTAATTGTATTCATTCGTAATTACAATTATTACAGACAATCAACATACAAAAATATTCTGAAGAATAAACCCTTCAAACCTGCCTAACAGTTTCTGTTGGAATGTGAAGGGTTAAATGGGTGGGTGGGCTTTATTCTCGCAAACTTTATCACAAGTTCCGCCCGCTATCAAGCTAGGGGGGAAAGTAGCTAGTTAGCATTATTTCATGCTGGCTAACGTCAGTTAGATGAGAGTGATACATGCGTCACTTCCGGGCGAAATTACGATTCCGGGGGGAAAAACAACGCTGTCATTTGAATGGCGGTAAATACAAATCACAAATGAAAAAAAAACGTGGATTTGTGTATCTTCAAGGAGATTTGAGAGGCATTTTAATATCATATACCGATACAACTGGATGACAGGATCAACAAAGGTAGGCCAAAGTTATTTTCAATGTCCTGCCGTGCCAACTTAATTCATTCTGCCTATAACCGTATCCCCAAATGAATCGTAACATATTTTTAATTAGCCGCTGTGCCGGTTTTAACAAAATTGCCTGTTTGTGTTGTGTTCCAAAATGAAGGGTAATTGTTCTTCGTTACTTGGCTGTGGGCGCTCGCCACTGGTTCAACCTGGAGCTACTGTACAGCCAGAACATAATTAGCTTAGCATAAAGACTGGCTTTGTCCAATTTAAAAACACACTACAAACAGCCGTAAAGCTGGCTTATATGATAAGCTTGTATTCTCACATCTCTGGGTTTGTAAAAATGAAACAAACAAAATACAAGTCAGGGAGACTTTTATAATCCGGCTCTGCATGTAATATTATGCAATAGTTCCTGACGTCTGCTTGCTCCTCACAATCGGATAAAAGTCCATGGGCCCTTTCCCATGGATGTCAAATCCTTCATATTAGTTTTTGAGGTTACAAAGTGTTTAGTGACCTGAATTCAATGCTAATGCAAACACATCAGTTAGTTAGGTAGGTTATCATTTCATCTCAATGCCTCCTCCTTTTTGACTTCTATCAACCTGTTTATCCCCACAAGCCCGTATCCGGCTTGACTTTGTTACCCAAGTTATTATTACCTTAAAACATCCACCAATTTCCTACTGCTACTGCAATTACAAATCATACCAAACAAGAAGTGTGTGATTACTACAGGTGTTTTCCACATTGTGTAACACCTTCAGTGGCTCAGCACTAATCAGTCATTGAAAGTCCAGGAACAGCTCACTGCTTCTGTCTCCATTCTAATCTCTTCACACCATAAACACTGCTCGGCTTTTGTTGCCGTGGAGCCTCTACACACTGCAGTTCGATGCACACACCAAAACATATCATGATTTAATGTAGGCCATGTAATGACATGGCCTATCTGTTTGCTGTAGCACTGTGCTGACGTGTGCTGGAGCGAGCTCCCAAAACCCGGACAATGCTCCAGTCA